TTGCATCTCTGCTACATGCTGGACACAGGAATCAATGAGCTGTGGCTTGCAGCGCTGGCTCTCTGCAAGCTCTCCATGCAGATGGCTAATGTGATCATATGACAGGTATTTCCAGCTGTAAACAGCTGCCAGGTTGGTATCAGAAGATAGGTTTTGCTGAGACAGACTGTGATCGAAAGGTGGTTTCAGGTTTAAAGCTATAGAAGTAAGTTCAAGTGACAAATGTGGGGGGTTTGTGGGTTGTTATGAAATGCCAGTACATGCAGGGCATAGATCTTCATTTTAGGCAAGGGTTTCCTTTACCCTGTACTTTTTGTACAGGGTATTAGTCATCCGTCTGCCCTCCCACGTGAGTCAGCTCAAAGAGCTGCCATCATGAGGCTCAACTGGAAACTGGTATTTCAGCACTCTCCTTGCTCAAGGGCCATCACTGTGCTGCTGGGAGAGGCCACAGCAGGGTGTGAGGAGACCTACACACCCGCAAGGAACCACGAGTAGGAGTGGGACTTGTACCTGCCCGGTGGAGGCTGCTGGACCTCACGTCTCAGGTGCAAAAGGGCCAGGATCCGTCTCTGCTGCATCCTCCCAGCCATTTCCTACAGTGTCCGGATACTGGAGCCAAAGGTATCAGCTTGGACTCCATTTGCAAGCTTGATTCAGCAAATCCCATCTTTCTAAACCTTTCCTTTCCCTTGCTCAAATCCAGTCTCTCCTCCTCCATGCACTTTACTCCATAATGGCTGGACTCTGGCTGGGACTCAGTCACTCTCCCCATGGCACAGATTGGCTGCAGTGGTATTCCATGCTTTGATATGTGTGACTGGGATCTGGGGGTGGTGCAGGGGGTTATCCCGCTTGATACGCTCCTCATGGGGCTTTGACATGAGTGTGGGAGAGGTGGCGGTGCAAAAGCCATGAGGAGACCATTTTGGTGCTGAAACTGGTCAATAATTTGGCGCATGTGTTCCAGGATAGTCACAAAATTGCTAAACATGCACCATGGTTCATGCATCGTACCTGGGTGTCTGCAGCAAGTTCTTCCACCTTCCCAAACATCTACCCTGGTCCCTCCTCAGCGCATGCACATCCTGTAGGTCCTGCTGCTCTGAACTCAGTGCCCCAAACCAGCAGACAAAATAGCCTTGAAATGTCTGTCCTACCCTTTCTTGTCCCTGCAGTGAGAGCAGCTGTGGTAAGGGTGATAAACCCAGTGGCATTCATCTCACCGGAAGATGGAGGTGAAAGAAATGTTTGCTGTGTACACATAGCACATGGCAGTGATGGAGAAAACATTTTACAGCTGTGACGTGATGTTACAAGCCAAATGAATGCCATCCAGGCCTGTACCTGAAGTATGTGACCTTCTAAAGGGCACAGCTTGGCATCACAGCAGCATGTCTTCTGGAGGGTATGGGGCTGTCCAGGGAAGCCTCCAAGGTGATGACTGCTGTGGAGGCAGTGTGGCCAGAGTTATCACATGCTCATGCCGTGGAGCTGGCAGACCTCGTGCCAAACTGCCTGGGGCTCCCAGGGAAAATTCAGCTTTCACAAGGGCCCTGCCCCTGTGGGTGGCTGGAAGTCCCCTTCGCTCTTCGTGGAAGAATGGGGTTTACCTTGATGTCTTTCTCAGATGATGTGAGTGGGATGGGGGGTGCTGTTTGTTCTCCCACTTCTTTTCAGATACCGCCGTATTTTGTGAGGTGCCCTCAAAGCACTCAGGAGAGCCTCTGCAAGGAAAGATGAGGGATTAGGGCAGAAATAACTGGAAGACCCCATAGTAGACAAGGAGGGGAGACAACGGGCATTTTCACCTCCCTGGATGTGAAATTGCTGCTCCCAGAGCACGCAGCGCTCAGAGGTTCCCAGGGCATGCCCAGCCTCGAGGAGGGGGAGCAGGATCCTCCCTGTTCTCGTTTTGAAACCACTTTCCTCTCCTCTGCCTTGTGCTTCTGCCGTGGACCTTGCCAAACCCTGGAAGGCGCAAGAGTCACTGGACCCTGTGTGTAAAAGAAGAAGTGAGGGAAGGACATGTTGAAATCAATTTGACTATTTGCCCATGCCCAGCCAAGAGATTGAGACAAGAGTGAGGGCAGGCTGAGGCTTCGGGATTATCAAGCCAAAGAGGTAGGGAGACAAATGGCTAATGATACTTGCAGAGGGTCTTTTCATACCCAGTTTTCCTTTAAAGAGAAGATTATACCCTATAAAGAGGGCAATAATGCTTGTTCTTTTGGATATCTAGGGTTTTTTTCAGCAGCACCTATAACCCTGTGCACAAGTGAACTGCCAACTATTTGTAGCAGGGGCAGACTGTAACCCCCTACAGCCTTTAAGGAAAACGGGTTTTCCTTTAGCATGAGCTGTTTTTAAAAGGAATGGAAAGGCTCAGTGTATATACATGATACATGCTCCCAGCTAGTTTCACTGGGAGGCAGACTGATGTTGTGGGAATGACAACATCCACTCCTTTTGGAAAACAAAGTCCCTCTGCAGCTCCTGTCTTGGGGCGTCTGGGGATGTTTTGCTAGTTGTCTGCAGGTTTGGGGGATGATGTTCATAGGGATTGTTGCTGCTAATCAGAAATTGTGCTACTTCTGGAGCTACTTTTAGGTTTTTTCCTATTGTTTCTTGGACAAAGAGTAATTCAAGGTGTAACTATGATGAGATATGTGAGCTCAGTGACTTTTGTTGCAGGTATTTTGCAGAGCAGTTGGTCACTGGTAAAACCCAGGGAAGAAAAGGGATATTTGCTGCTTTTGAAGCCTGATCACCAAGTAACTCTCCCTTGACACACGCAGAGGCTCAAGACCATACAAGCCCTGCACAGAGAACGTCTGTAGGGATCGTGCTGGCCTCTGATGGGTGGCGGGTGCTGCCCACCCTGCCAGGCTGTGCCCGAGCATTTCCCAATGGCATTACAAACCAGCCCCAACACAGTGATGGGCTGGGGAATTTCTGCACAGAAGCTGAACTCTTACTCTCTAAAACCTCCAAAATCCCAGCAGAGCAGCAGCTCCAAGCTGGAGAATGATTGCCTGATGCTTAGCAATATTTATGATTGCAGTGAATTTTATTTCTATGGCACTACAAGGAGAAGGGAGGTGGATTTGAAGATTAACTAAACTCTTACCACTTCTTCTCTCTGTGCTGGGTGAAGTAAGAGATATTCTTTTGACCCCTGGTATTTTCTGTGGGCAAGAATCAGCCTGGGGATGCGGTGTCCATGTCCTGCCTTTATCTCTCTGGCTGCTCTTTGCCAGGCCAGATTTTGCTTTTGCAATCAAAGCTAAAAGCAAAGATGACAACAATAATTTTCAAATGCCATTGTGCACTTTACATCTCTACTGCCCGATGGCAGCATTTTGCAGTGGAGCACAAGTGTGCTCTAAGGTGTGTGTCAAGACAGAGGGATGCAGAACCGAGATCAGCTCCTCCGCTGTGTCTCACTCCATCAGCAAGGCAGGAGATGCTTTTAATCTCTTTGCTCAAGGTGAAGCAAATGTTAGGCTGGCTAAAATTAAGGCTGAGGCTGACAGGGCTGGGCAAGCAAGTCCAAGTGTGTCTGCTAACATAGGGACAGGAACATTCTTTGGGCCTCTACCACTAAACTGTGGAGTGCATCACTTCCTCTGCCTTGAATTGGAGTTTATAGAATCATGGAATGGTTTGGGTTGGAAAGGACCTTAAAGCTCATCCAGCCCCAACCCCTGCCACGGGCAGGGACCCCTTCCCCTGGAGCACCTTGCTCCAAGCCCCTGTGTCCAACCTGGCCTTGAGCACTGCCAGGGATGGGGCAGCCACAGCTTCTCTGGGCACCCTGTGCCAGCGCCTCAGCACCCTCACAGGGAAGAGCTTCTGCCTAAGAGCTCATCTGAATCCTACCCAATAATATCTAACATAATACCTAATAAAAATTTAATCTGAATTCCTCAGGAATACTGTTGGTTGGATGGGGCTTGGAGCAACCTGGTCTAAGAGAAGGTGTGCCAGCCCATGGCAGGGGGTTGGAACTAGTTTCCAGCCCAAACCCGTCTGTGATTCTACGATTCTATGAAACAGGAATCTATGAGTGTGCAGCATCACCCGTGTTCACAGCCCCACTTCACAGAGCCTGTGGCTTCTCAGCAGTCATATGCTGCTGAGGACAGTGGCAGCAGTCCAGCAGCAGTGACATGCAAGTCTTGAGTGCAAGCTGATGTCCTTCCCTGAGCTGTGGGTCCGTCTACTGAGCAGTAAATAGCTGTGCAGCTCAACAGCCCCTTTGAGTCCCAGCCTGCTCTTAGTTCTGTGTGTGTAAGTACTTTGGACATCCAGGAGCAGAACAGCTTTTCCCTTGGCCTGTGACTCTTCCTAATGCCCACTCATGCCTTCCCCCCGTGTGCCACCAGCACAGGCGTTTTGATAGGGATTGGCAAGGAGAGGGTGCTGCTGCAGGCCTGCGGTAGGCAACTGCTCTGAATTGCAATCAGACAATGCAGTTACAGGAATGAAAGCTGACAGTGAAGCACAAGTTTTTAACTCCATTTCCTGCTGCTTTTTTTTCTCAATAACCAGCTCTGCCTGGACAGCCCGTTCAGGAAAAAGACCCTGTGCCCTTCCCCAGTGCTGTCCCTGGCATCCGTTCTCAGCCCAACCCTGTCCCATGCACCCAGGTGCCGCAGGGGTTTTCCACCCTACAGATTTTGCGCTGGATTTCAAATCCCCTCCATCTCTCGGAGCTGAAGATGATTTCTGCTTTCTGCAGGGTGCCCATCTGTGCTCACAAGGCATGGCGGATCCCAAATACACATTGGAGTGCAGATGCTTCATGCTGCCCCCATCCATCCTCCACCCACACTCTTCCCCTGCTGGACTTTGCCTTCTCAGAACTGTGTTTGGCAACGTGCTCCCAATTCCTTGCTCGTAAATAACAGCAGGGGCTAGATGTAACACCTTTCGTTGTTCTCAACCTGCCTGTGCCATGATGTCCTCATTGCTGAGGGCTCCTGGTGCAAGATGGGGTGGTGGGAAGCAGAGCTGGGGTTTCTGCGCCTTCTAGAAGGAGGCCTTTGCATGTTTCCGCTTGTTAAAATGGCCATGTGAGATAAAGTCTGTGGTTTCCTCTGAGCGTGTGAGAGAGGGGGCAGAAGCAGCAGGGGCTGCAGAGCTGCAGCTGCTCTCACCAGCGAGCCTCCCACGAGATGGAAGCTGCTGGGGAGACCCCCGTGGGGACCCTCCCTGGGGAAGAGAACCCCCAGGTAGGTGCTTTTGACCCGGGGTGTTGGGGAGTGTGTCCGGTGTGTGACTGCTCCAAGGAGGGGATTGTGGCTGCTGTGCCCGGGGGACTGCAGGGTGCAGAGCTGGGTGCTGACGCTGTAAAGGGAGAGCGAGAGAAGAGGGGCTTAGCCCGTGCCCCAGCCGGGATGTTTTCCAAGGAGGTGGGGGCACCATAGTCACGCAAATGTGCAACCAAAGGCTGTGTTGGGGGTTGGCTTCCGTTCTGTGTCGGCACTTAGCATCCCATCCCCTCTTAGCTGGGATACAGCTTCCCAGCGCCTCCCAACCCCTCTGGCTCCCTGCTGCCAGCAGGTGCCCTGAAGCCCCGCTCTCACCCAACCCAACCGGCTCCCTCTGCAGCGGCCAGACAGCAGCATCCCTGTGTCTGCCCCTACGGAAATGGGACCCACAGCTCTGCACAACACTGCTGGGACCATGCCCACATGGGAATCTGTCTTGTCTGTGTATCCCCCCACCAGGGACTCGTTTCTTCTAAGGGATAAGCTTGTTCAGCCTGGAGAAGAGAAGGCTCCTGAAGGGGAGAATTTAGAGCAGTTTAAAAGGGCTCCAGGAAAGCTGGAGAGGGGCTTTGGCCAAGGGATGGAGGGACAGGCCAAGGGGAATGGCTTGAACCTGCCCAAGGGGAGACTGAGCTGAGCTCTTAGGCAGAAGCTCTTCCCTGTGAGGGTGCTGAGGCGCTGGCACAGGGTGCCCAGAGAAGCTGTGGCTGCCCCATCCCTGGCAGTGCTCAAGGCCAGGTTGGACACAAGGGCTTGGAGCAAGCTGCTCCAGTGGAAGGGGTCCCTGCCCATGGCAGGGGTTGGAGCTGGAGGAGCTTTAAGGTCCCTTCCAACCCAAACCATTCTATGATTCTAAGTGTCACTGTCTCTGCAGCTGAGCTGGCCTCCTGCACTGGTGGCACTGTCACAGCAGCAGGTAGGGGGGATGTTGGTGGCTGTATCCAAACCTAGATTTAAGCAATGCTCCTGGATTTGAGCTGGGCCTTTGTCATGGGGATTAGTAGCAGTAAACACATCCTGGTGGCTCAGCTCAGCTTTATCTTAACCAGACCCATACACATACGGGCGAGCACAAAGCAGAATCCACAGTGGCTGTCCCCACTGGCAGAAAGGAGCAACATGGAGCTATCCCCCAAATCAACAGTGATTCCTCCCCCTGACTTCTTCGGCTACTCCTCTGCTGGGCAAGGACCAGCAGCAGAGAAATAATAAAACCCTTTTTTCCTCTCGCCCCAGCAGCCCTGCTTGTGGGGCAGCACTGCCCACAGGGATGCAGAAGGATTTGGGATGGAGCCAAGTCCACTGTGCCCCGGTGCAGGCAGGATGGTGCTGGGTGCAGGAAGGACCCTCCTGGGTACAACAGGTTCCCCCTTTCACAGGAGCTGCTGCAGCCCTTGGCACCAACCAGAGGTAGAAGGGGTCCTGGAGCAGGTGGGAGAGAAGTAGCTCAAGGGTTAAACTCACTGGGGGTAGGAGAGCTGAATTTAGTCCAGATGGCTGGGGGATTATGCCAGCTTTAGATCTGCCATAAGCAAATGTTAATGTTCCAGCTCAGGACTGTGGGGGATTCTAAGGTCATTTTGGGGCCTGGGTTGACCCACAGGTAGGGCTTATCCACCCATCTGTTGCTGGGGCTGTGCTTGGCATGTGGTCCTCGGCACAGAAAGGGCCAAACTCGTTTCAGAAATTTCCATTACATTCTTTGGCATTGCCCCCTTGCACTCCCAGCGGCCGCAGCACTGGGAGCCATAAAGGGTAGTGCAGAGGCACCGATCCCCTTCCCTTTGGCTGTGTCACCTGGCAAAGTTACCATGACCCAGCCGGGCTCCGTGGCTGGAACAAGTTGCTCTGCCATGTGGTGGCTGAATCCACATGTGGTTAGGGAAGCAGAAGGATGGGCTCAGCCTCTGCACTGGGGAGGGAGCAGGGCGTGAGGATGGGCTGAGAGTTGGGGGTGGCCAGAGAAGAGGGTATTTTGGGCAGAAGTGGTTTGATCTCCCGGATAGATCCATGTGGAGCCAAGAGGAGTGGGAGGGGACATTTGAGGTGGGGGACAACAGGGGCTGTGTGGGCAGCAGGACCCCTGCTCAGCCCTGGGGCTGCGTGCCACTGGAGCCACAATGTAGTGCAAAGGCAGTTGCCTTTTGGAAAGCAAATGCTACTGCTGGTCATGCTTCAAGCAGGGAATGGACCTTCAGCTCAACAATTAGTACCAGTGCATTGTTGCAGCAGCACCCATTTTTCAGGCAAGGGAGCTCAAGTCATAAATCCCAATGGCTTTTTGAAGTCGCTTTGCCTATAGCTGTCTTGGCCAGCCTGTAGCTCCTCACCACGCTTTGTCCACTTGCCCTCTCCCTTGGCTCGTTTTCTCTCCAGCCTGGTCCTGATGGGCCTGGCCAGGCCAGTGAGCAGCTCTGTGGGGCAAGAGGTTGGAAGCTGGCTTCTAAAGGCTCCTATCGGTCCCCTCAAGTTGCCATCTTTGCTGCTCCCTCCTTCATTAACAGGGCTCGGGAGTAAAGCCCCCATGCTGCCCTTCCACGTGGTGATGAAGGAAGTGATCCCTCAGCCACAGGGTTCCTGCAGGGTGTCACAGCATCTTTTGGGGCATCCCAACCCAATGGGCTGCAGGTCATGCCCCATTCGGGCTGCCCTGCCCAGCTGTTATTTCCTTCTAAAACCACTCTCTACTGTGAGACCTGACAAGAAACCTCTCTGTTTCTCTTCTTTCTCTAGATGGATCTGTCCCACCGATTCTCCAAGAGAGAGGTACAAATGTGGCCCCACCATGGTCCCTCTGGGTGGCACTGGAGGGGGTGGTAGTGCTGCAGAAGCTTGGGGACATGGCTCAGCTCCTGAAGATGCTCCCCATGGACACCCCTTGGTGGTCAGGCAGGGCTGGATGCCAGGAGGGAAGTGGCAGGGCCCAGTGGGATCTGGAAGTGGGGGACACCCCATTAATCTTGAGGGATGAATGGAGAAAGTCCCTGCTGGCCTGGCCCCAGGCAAGGTGTTGGCATCCCCCCTGCAGCTGACCCTGCTCTACGAGGAGGTCCTCTACACCATCCGGCACCGCTTGGGAAAGCCTGAGCACCACCACGTCATGGATTCCCAGGAGCTCTATGCCTATGTTCAAAAGGTAATTCCCCACCTCCCTGATGGGGTCCCCAAAACCTGTCCCTGACATAGAATCATAGAATAGTTAGAGTCAGAAAGGACCTCAAGATCATCAAGTTCCAGCCCCCCTGCCATGGGCAGGGACACCTCGCACTAAACCATGGCACCCAAGGCTCTGTCCAGCCTGGCCTTGAACACTGCCAGGGATGGAGCATTCACAGCTTCCCTGGGCAACCCGTTCCAGTGCCTCATCACCCTTACAGGAAAGAATTTCCTCCTTAGATCCAATCTAAGCTTCCCCTGTTCAAGTTTTAGTCCATTACCCTTTGTCCTGTCACTGCAGTCCCTAATGAAGAGTCCAGCTCCAGCATCCCTGTAGGCCCCTTTCAGACACTGGGAGCTGCTCTGAGGTCTCCACGCAGCCTTCTCTTCTCCAGGCTGAACAGCCCCAACTTTCACAGCCTATCTTCCTATGGGAGGTGCTCCAGTGGCCTCCTCTGGACTTGTTCCAACAGTTCCATGTCCTTTTTATGTTGAGGACACCAGAACTGCACACAATGCTCCAGGTGAGGTCTCCTGAGAGCAGAGCAGAGGGGCAGGATCACCTCCTTCGACCTGCTGGTCACGCTCCTTTTGATGCAGCCCAGGACATGGGTGGTTTCTGGGCTGCAAGCACACGCTGAAGCCGGCTCATGTTCATTTTCTTATCGAGCAGCACCTTCTCCACAGGACATGTCCATCCTCCCAGTGGAAGTGGATGGTGGGAGGCACTCAGAGGGCGTTCTTAACAAGCATCTTGAAAGACATAGCAGCAGCATCTAGCTGGAGGGCTGGGAAAGCTTGTGGCTGAACAATATTAGCCTGAGGGAGAAATACTTATCTTGGGCTCAGAGTGGTGGGAAGAAGACTTTCCCTGAAGAGCTGTCAGCTGGTCCCCAGCACTTCTCCTGGGCTCTTTGCTGCTCTCTTCTCAACCTGGAGCTGCAGCTGCCTCCCAGGGAGCAGAGGGATGCCCTTGGGTGCTCTACAGCTACTGTTAACAGGGCAACATCCATTACCTGGTATCTACACAGGCTTTTGGCATGGATGAAGAGGAGCACAGTGTCATCATGCAGCAGGTCAAGGAACTGGAGGTATGCAGCAAGACGGTGCCTCCCCTGTGTGCTGTGACCTGGGGGGGGAAGTTCCTGCAGTGGGAAGGTGCTGGGGGGGCTGCAGTGTCTTTTGGCCCCTGTGCTTGGGCGCTGGGGTATGGGGTGCCCTGGGCTGTGCTGGGGGAGTCACTTGGGAGCTGTTTGCTGGTCTGAACAGCAGCTGCTGGTGGGGGCCTGCATGAGCCTCTGCTTCCTCACAGCACTGCTGACTCCCACATTATTTCATCTGTTTTCCTTACTCTTCCAGAGCCCAGTTTTCTGCCTGAAAGCAACTGTGAAGGAAGCCAAGGGGATTTTGGGTAAAGACGTCAGTGGTAAGTGGAAATGAGTGGGTGTCCCATTGGAAAAGGGGCAGGCGCTGCTCCAGATGGGGACTTGCATGCCTCCATCCTCGCAGGGTTCAGTGACCCTTACTGCCTGCTGGGGATCAGGACCAAGAACCAGGAGCTTGCCAACCCTGACCACAAGAAGCGGATGAAGGCTGTGGTCAAAGACCTCATCCCTGAAGACCAGATCCATCGCACACAAGTTATAAGCCAGACCCTCAGCCCGGTGTGGAATGAGACGTTTATCCTGTAATCTGCCATCCCTTGGCTTTGCTCCCTGGGGAGACGAGGGGGGGAGGTTTCACTACTCACCCCAACCAGGAACTCCTAGGGCAATGCCCCCTGGGGCTTGCCAGGCTGCTGATCTGACCTATGCAGCAGATCCAGGGAGGTGAAAGGCAAAAGCAGACTCTCAGGGCTCTCCCACGACTTTCCCAGGCTGTGCAGGGTGGCTGCAGGGTCTCCCCCAGCCTGCCTGTAATTCCCAGTGGTCCTGCCTGCTTGCTACCAGCTCCTTGGATGCTGCTTGAGTAACAGCATCCCACTGGTGCCTTGCAGGGAGTTTGAAGACATGGAGACAGCCAGCTTCCACCTGGACATGTGGTGAGCAGCAACGACTCTCAGGCCAGCAACCCTGACCCCCAACCCTGAGCAGGGTCCTGCCCACTGGGAAGGTCCCTGGGGTGGTCCTTCAACCTGCTCCCTTTAAACCCCCAGAAACCAGCTGGGAATCCCTTTCCCTGTCACTGTCTGCTGGATGTGACCAGCATGAGCAAAGAGTGTCCAGGCTGGCTTTGCCCAGCAGGGCGGATCCTGACTCCTGATTTTATTTATGGGAAGAAGTCACATGTTTTCACATTTTGGCTAGACACCTGGTTTGGGGAGATGGTCTTAGTTCCAGCACATTTCCCCCTCCCAACACCTTCTTTCTCCCACGATCACTGGAGTGCCCTGAAGGGTTTTGCAATTGCTTGAATTTCCTCCTTTCCCATGTTGGGTTTCCCTGTCCGCAGGGACTCGGATGTGGTGGAGTCAGTGCGGCACAAGCTGGGGGAGCTGACAGACCTCCACGGCCTCAAACGGTTGGTGCTAATGGTCCTAATGGCTGATGAAGGAAGAGGGTTTGAAAAATGCTTAAAAATTGCTTTGGAAAGAGGGCTGGTGGGTGGCAGGGCTGCCACCTTAACCAGTGACTTTTCACAGTCACACACATCCTTGTTGATGGCTTTCAGGATCTTTAAAGATGCTCGCAAAGACAAAGGGCAGGATGATTTCCTGGGGAATGTGGTCCTTCACCTGAAGGTGAGCACTGCCGTGCATCCTCTGCTCCAAGTGACTCCCCATGTGCCTCTCTAAACCTCCCAGACCTGGGCAGGATCCCAGCCCTGTGGCTACACTGAGCATACCCAGGATCCCAGCTTAGAGCCCCAAACTGATGCCAGGTCCCTCAGTTTGGTGGCAGGTGTCCTGGACATCAGTTACTCAAGCTCAGTGATGATATCTCATTTAGTTTAAATCCAATATTAGTGTTATCTAATACAGCATCTTTCTGTTCTGTTAAAGCAGTGGGACCTCATCCTGGATTGGAATCCTTCCCCCAGGAAGGCTGCCTGGGGCTTCACCTTTTGTCTCTGTTAAATCAGGATCTGCACTGCTGGAATGACCGATGGTACCAGCTGGAGCCACGAACAGAGACGTACCCAAACCGGGGACAGTGTCACCTGCAGTTCCTGCTTACACACAAGAAGGTAGGAGGGGATGAGGAGGGGGGTCCCTATCCATTGCCTTGGCAGGATGGGGTAGCTACCTGTCCCTTGGACTCTATCTTGGTGTCACAGATCCCTGCTCCATGACCAAAGGTGCCAACACCAGAGTTTCCATGTGCTGTAAAACAGCTTGAGCTTCCCCTGAGCTTCTTGCCAGCAAGGGTGCCTTGGTCCTGGTGCAACTGCACCACTTGGCTCAGCTTCAGGTGGGGCTTTCTGGCCCCATGCTTTTTGGGTTCCTGTGTCCCACTCTCTGACTGCATTTCTGCATCTTCAGGCCGTTACGGTTATTGCCTCTATGTCTGGTGTCTTTTCAGAGGGCCACCACGAGCAGTCGAACACAGCCAAGCTACACTGTCCATCGCCACCTCCTGCAGCAGCTGGTGTCATATGAGATCCTTCAGCACCAGGTACTGAGTGGGAGAGCCCCTCCAGCAGCTGGGCTGGGGTGAGGGTTTCCTTTGGAGCCCATCACACTTAACACCTTGATGCAGTGTGATGGGAAGGAGGGTCATGATGATGCCTGCCTGTGCTTGAGGCACCCATTCCTCCTGTGGGCCTGCAAACACACCCTGCCTTGGTGCCTGTTCCCCTCCTTGCTCAGCCCAGCTTGCTCCAGGACTCACCATCCTCCCTTTGCATCCTTGCAGGCTGGCAGCATTGCCTGGGACGGGGAGCTGAGCAGGCATGCCAGCACCGTGCTGTACCTGCATGCCACACAGAAAGATCTCTCTGACTTCCACCAGGTCATAGTGTGAGTACCCCATGCCCGGGGAGCCACGGTGCAGCATCAGGAGGGTCAAGGGCTCTGACAGCTCCCCTGGGCATATGTGACTGCAGCTGGAATCTCCAGTGAGCTCCAGCGATGCCCCCTGCCCTGAGCAGGACCAGGAGAACTGGGTACCACCCATGCAATCCCAGCTGTAGCCGGGGTGGGGGAGCCTCACGCTAGCCCCTGAGTGTCCACCAGCTCTGGGGGCTCAGCCCAGGCTCTCCCTTCCCCCCAGGAGGTGGCTGGCATACAGCAAGCTCTACCAGAGCCTGGAGTTCAACAGCAACTGCCTGCTCCATCAGATCACCAGCATCGAGTACCAGTGGGTGCAGGAGCGCCTGAGGCCAGAGCAGGTGAAGGGGGCTCTGGCACCATGCAGGGGGCAGAGAGCAGGGAAATGTGCCCCATGCACCCAACCCCATGCCTCTCCTCCCAGCTCCCACGGCCATTTCCATCCCTGTGTTCCAGGAAGGGCAGGAGCTTGTGGGCTACAGGAGTGCTGGGGTGTCTGCAGGGCACTTCTGAGGAGAGCCAGCCTCAGGAACCAGGACAACCCAGGGTCAGGGAGCCCCTTTGCCCCAGGAGTTTGTCCCCCCCGTCCATGCATAAGCCTTTACTGTTTGCACTGACATCCCCCCTCCTCCATCACTGCTATCAAGTCAATCACAACCCTCTCCAAGACCTAAATATGACCCAATTCCTACTTTTCCCAGCCCAGGAGTTTTCCCAGAGCATGCCAGCACCCGCTGAGACTCTGAATTTTTCAGGCATAGCAATGAGTTTTAAGTACAAAACTCAGGTCAGATAGGTTACTGGAGGCATCAGGGGGTTTCCCACACCTAGAGCATACTAGAAAGGAACAGGAGACACCAGCTCCCTCCATCACAGTGCCATGGTCCTGCCAGCATCTCTTGTCTGCCACTGAGGTGGACAGCACATGTTTCCTTCCTTCTCCCCAGAAAGCAGAGGTGGCCGAGTCCTTCCAGTCCTTGCTGACTTATGGGGTTTCCCTCATTCGGAGGTACCGCATCATTTTCCCACTTTCTGTCCCAAGGTCCACAGAGAGACTCCAGTCCCTGCTCCGGTGAGTTGAGCACCAGTGCCAGCTGTGCATAGGGTCCTATAGCTTGCCCACTGTGATGGACAAGCCTGTAAGCTTCAGCAAAAACCTACATGAACCCTTTTTGCCCCCTTCTAGGCTGCTGTGGAACTTGTTCTGTCTTGTCCCTCATCCTGGGCTCTCTGTGGTGGTTGTTGTTGGGAGGGGAAGATCCGCTTGGGTAGGGTTCTTGTGGGGAGAGTTTGTGGATTCTGAGGGACTGGTGCTGGGTTTCACTTCAGGTTCTTGCTTTGCAGAGTCCTGGTCCAGATGTGCAAAATGAAAGCTTTCCATGAGCTGTGCACACCCAACCCCAACCTCCCCCACATGGTCTCCACAGCACTGAAGGTAGTGGGACCAGGGTCTCACCCTCCCAGTCCTGGGCAAATGGGACCCTGCACACTGCCCATGCAAAGCCACATGGACCACCATGAAGGAGGGAAATACCTGCCCCTGTTCAACCTGATGGTCCCAGCCTGGGGTTACCACCACGTGGGGCTGGGTCCTGCCACACCAGGGGACAGAGAGAGTGAAGGGGGTGGCAGAGCTGGCTTTGCTCCTCCTGCTTCCCTGCCATCACACCATGATTCCTTTCTTGCCAGTCAGGCACAACAGAATGGTTCCATATGAAGAAGCAGCACCTCAAGCCCATGGTGAAGGTCAGTTCTCATCTCTGCCTCCCTGACATGATAAGGAACAGTTTGCTGGGCAGGGGTGGGAGTCCCAAGGCAGTGGGAAAAGAAGACTGAGATGAGGCGTCTCCAATTTTTTGATTCATCAAGGCATTTAGGTTTCCAGCTTAAAAATACCATGAGCCATGCTATCTGCAGCTGCCAAGGTGCCTTGGGGGTTAAGGTCTTGTTGTAATGCTCAGGAGAAGAGGTGGTCCCCAGAGCAGCCATGCAAGCACATGATGACATTTAATGTTATCAACAACTGGTGCTTAGTGGATCTAAGGATATATTGCTACCTCACAAAAACAAACCATAGAAATAAATCAGATCAGAACAGAGCTCAGGTCATCTCAAAATCACTGAGCATTGAAATGAAGCTGTTCTTCCCTTTGCAGAGCATGGAGGAGAACGGCAAAGCCTTGTCCAGACTCCTCCTGGAGGTGTTAGGAGATCTCCAACAGTGCCAAAAAATTTGGAATAGAATTTTCATCAGGTAGGTTTTGGGGCTTGATTCCCCCCATCCCCAGGGTGAAGAGCAACACGATGCCTCATTCCTTGGTTCTTGGGCTCCACAGATAGCATCTGTGGTCCCACCTCTGCTTCTTAGACCTGTACTGTCCTTGCCATTATGGAATGGGCATGGCCTAGGAGGCTTTGCTCAGCTGGAGCTGGCAGGCTCCTGACTCCCTGTTTCTCTTTTGCAGCACCTTGAGGTTGAATCTCTTCTCCATCGCCTACCTGGAGCTGGAGATGCTGGTGAGCAAGCCTGGGCTGCTCTGCACTTGTAAGACTAATGTCGAAAGCAAGGCTGAGGTTTATGGCCACCCTTCACATAACAAATGGTTGTTGCAAGCCTGGAAAGGGAGCAAGCCAGGGAAACTCTCCATCTTTCCCTGTGAGCCCAAGACTACCATCTGCTTACCTGACCTAATGAGCCTCCTGAAATGCGATCCAAAAGGAAGAGGAGTTCCCTGAGCTGATCCTCACCCATGGCTCCATGGAGCCCCAACCAAGTTTTCCTGGCTGGACCCTCACTAACAACGGTCTCCATTCCTTTGCTCACTACCAGGTCGCGGAGCATGTCCAGGAGCAGCTACGTGAGGTCAACAGCAGTATGTCCAAACCCACAGCCGAGAGCCTTTTCCAGCTCTACATGAACCTCCAGGAGCTCTATCGGATGAAGGACTTCCTCCCTAAGAGGTATCCAACCCAGAGAGAGGGAATGAGCAGTTCATTGAGAGGAACTCTAAATCCTTCCAATTCACCTACATCAGTAATTACGCACAAGGCAGACAGGGCTGTTGGTGTCTGGTGTTGGTATGAGCATCACCAGGAGGGTTTCAGGCCCTTCTCTGAGTGGGCCTGATGGAGACCTCAACTTCCAGGCAAGTGGAGGTTTCTCCTTTGCATGTTGCTACATGCTGCCTCCACCTCAGGTCAGTTTCTTGTATGTGAGAGCAAGGAGGGCTGATGGTCTGTGCTACTGCTGTGCAGTTGGAGAAGCTGCTGCCTTCATCCACAGGGATGGACCTCTGGCTCTGAACAATTTCCACCAGTGGTTCAAGGAAGGTGTTCCCCAGTGGCTGCAGAAGGCCTACACCATTGCTCTGGAGAGGGCACAGAGAGCTGTCCAAATGGACCAGGTAACACAGGGAGGAGGAGAGCATCTCCCTGCAACCTCTGGGGACACTTCAGCTCCCTCCATGCCTTGCTGCTGCACCTGGCTCACGGCATTGAGACCACCACATTGGTGCCTCTTGCAGCCCAGGAGCAGGCTGGCTCCTCTCACAAATGCATAACAAAAGATGGGGTGTCATGGAGCAGTTGATCCCACCCATGCCCCTTCCCCTGCTGGTCTCTGGCAGCCTGAACAAGCTGATGAGCATGCATTTGGGCCATGCTGTGAGCATCCGCTTCTCTTCTGACCTTTAGGAAGAGGAGAGGGAAGGCAGCCATGGGGCAGTGGGCTCCTTGCCCCACTCTTCAGTGTGTTCCAACAATGCTGGGTGGAGTAGAGTGGAGGACTCAGTGCAGGGAGCTCAGGCTACTTCTTCTGTCCTCATCTCCTCCACTTCCCAAAGTGGTGGCATTGGGATACATGGGAAGTGATGATGGGCCCCAAAGTAAAGGAGCAGCTCTCCTTGTGTGGGATGGCTTCTTTCAATACAAGCCAAGTTGCATTTAGTTTCTCTGCTCCCTCAGTTGACACCTTTTGGGGAGCACAACAAGCACAGCACCTCCACTGTTGACCTGTCCACCTGCTACGCCCAGATTGTGAAGACCTGGCAGCAGCTCAACTGGCCAGACCCTGAGGAAGCCTTCATGATCATGGTGAAGCTTGTGGAGGTTCGTACCCCAGGCCTGACAGCAAATACCATGCTCACGGACATCAGCAGAGCATCTTCTGCTCTTGGAGAGCTGTCTCTAAGAATGGGGCCGGTGTCCCATGCTGACATGGTGGGGTCCCCATGCTGCCCAGCTCAGTCTTGTTGCCTTCTTTTCTATCCCACAGGACATGTGTAGGATTGCCCTGATGTACTGCCGGCTCATCAAGGGGAGGGCTGAGGCTCTGTCGCTGCACAAGCAAAATGAGGGTGAAGAGGCCAACAGGGTTGGTATTGGGTCTCCTGTGTAGGGAGAAACAGGATTTGGCCATGGTTTCTGGGCAAAGAAGGAGATGAGCTGCTGAGCCTCCAGCCAACATCCCACATTTGGGTTTCATAGAGATCGGTTGGCCCCTGATAGCCACAGTCCTGGAAAATCAGGAGGGAAATGATGCGAGCAGGGGTAGCAGGATGAGAATGGGGAATGGGAATAGTTATGGAGATGGGACTGGGCATGGGGGGATGCACCAAGGGGTGTGGGACACCCTGAAGCAGACCCGTTATCCCCAGCTCTGCATCGTGGTGAACAACATCAAGCAGCTGCGGCTGCTGATGCTGAAGCTGCCGTCGCAGCTGGACTGGGTGCAGCTGGAGCAGCGCACGGGAGCCGTCATTGACCGGCAGCAGATCCAGCACACGCTGCACAACCAGCTCGACAGCACCATCTCCTGCCTGGATCACGAGGTCCAGGAGGTGGTGCAAACCCTGGCCACCAAGGTAACCACCTGCCACCGGCTCCCCCTTGGCCCTTGCCTGGCCCAAGAGTGGGGAGGTTTCACTCAAGGGGGCCTGGAGCACATAATGCTCCTGGGATGGAGGTGAGACTGGGGCTGTGCATGGGGAGGCTCTTGCAGAGGGTAAAGGCCAAGAGTCTCTGTGCATTTCTCCCTGGCAGCTGGAAAAGGGCATTGCCAGACACATCCAGGAGCTCTCATCTTCTAATGACACCAGGGAGCCTGAGGATGTAAGTACCCGGCCCAGTTCCTCCTGGAGCATCTCCTTTGGGCAGCCATGAATAACTTTTTCCTACTTGGTACCCTTCCCCAGCTCTCCCTGCCCCACACCTGGGGCACAAGACACACCACCAATGGGGTCCAGACATCCAAATGCTGACGTTTGATGCCCATCAGCAGCAGGACCAGACAGGGCACAGCCTGCCCATGTCTTCACTGCGGGAGGGAGCCCTGGACACTCCCCTGCCCTGCTGGCTCCAGCCAGCAGTGCTCTGCCCCTCTCCCCACTGTGATCTGCTGGATATGCCCCTCCATGCCCTCCCTAATGCTCCTCTCCTCTTGCTGCAGTCCATCATCCCCCTCATGAAGTTTCTGGAGTCGGAGCTGCAGTATCTCAATGAGCATCTGGTCCAGGAGAACTTTAAAAGGTGATGAGGGCACTGGGGATGCACCATGGCAGAGGCCAAGTCCCATGGGTCTTGGGAACCTCCCGCTCTGGGCTGGCTGCTCAGCCCTGTGGGGTAAGCCCGTTCTCCCCAGCTAACCTCCCTAGCCCACCCCCTGGGATCCCTCACAGCCTTCCTTCCTTGCCCCTGCAGCCTCCTCACTCTTCTCTGGCATCACACCTTGGCCGTGCTGTCAGCAGCCATGGGGCAGCAGGTCCCCTCAGCCCAGTGCTGCAAGAAGCTGCTCTGTGCCCTGAAGGTACCAACGGGGGAGCTGCGGAGTCCCTGGGCGGGCCGGGTGTTTGGTTGCTGACTAACACCAACCATCCTTCTCACCAGAGCCTGGAGCTGTGCTTCCACGCCGAGGGCTGCGGGCTGCCGCTGCACATGCTCCACACTGCAGTCTTCCAGGTACAAGGTCCCCAGGGGTTTCCTTTGGGTGGTCTCCAGGGATGACATCCCTGCACTGTGCACCCATTGCGTGTTGGGCTGTCACCTCTCATCCTCCCTGCAGTCGCTGGAGACCCGCCTGGACCTCTGCTCTGCCACCAGCCGCAAACTCATCCAGAAATACTTCAGCAAGAGGATCCAGCAGCAGGTAGGAGGCAGGACGGTGCCCCCAGCCCCTGGCTACATCCCACCCTTGCACATGCAAGGCTGCCTGGCACAGCCTGCCCGTGGAAAGGCGGGATTTACCCACCATCCTCTCAGTCCTGGGGCTTTTTAGGCTGGTTTTGCCCCACTGGAGAATGGAAAGAGCTCAACTGCATCCCAGAGAATGCCCATCACCCCCTCTGCCCCAAAGTGCCTGCTCACCCTCCACCAGACACTGAGTATTCCCTCCATTAAGCACCTTATTCTTGTAACCCCCACTCAGCTGGACACCAGCTCAGAGAAGTACGGGGCTGTGACCATCAAAGCACTGTACTGCCCTTCAGAGCAGAAACTCCACGTGGAAGTGCTCAATGCTGTCAACCTCATCCCTTTGGACTCCAATGGTGGGTAGGGTGGGCTGGGGAGGCCCACCACCTTGGTACCTCCTGTCCTTGTTCCCCTTTATGCCCTTGGGTAGGAGAGTTGCTGGCAATGTTTGAATTAATGGGACTCTCTCTTGAGTTGCTTTTGCATTCAAGGAGGTGGGTTTGAGAAAGAAGGGAGGTTATTGCACTGGTCTGGGGTGGTCCAGTGGGATGAGGCAGGCAGGACACACATCCCATTGCCTTCAGTTTGCAGGACAAGCTAGCAGCCTGGGCAGGTGGATTTTTTCCATCATGCAAACCATGTCTCGGCCCCAAAAAACTATGCCAGGGTGGCTGTCATTTGAGGAGATCTCCAGGCGAGGTCACTCCTCTTGTAGCCACCTATGGGGTCATCAGGGTTGGGGAAGTTCTTGCATCCTCCCAGGAGCTGGGCTGGGGGGCAGCACGAGGGGCCTAACATCTTCTCCCCACCAGGCTCCAGTGACCCCTTTGTCCAGCTCACCTTGGAGCCCCGGCATGAGTTCCCCGAGGTGGTGGCCAGGGCCACCCAGTGCAAGAGGAATGAGCTGCACCCCCTCTTTGATGAAGCCTTTGACTTGTATGTAGGAGCTGGCATCCCTGGCCCCCCTCCTCCCCCAATCCCCTCTGCTTCCCAAGCTTCAGCTGAGCTTCGGCTATGGGACTGCTGCTCTGGGAACTGGGTCCTGTCCTGGGATTTCACCCCCTGCTCAGCTGTGGGATCCCTGGGGTAGGGGCACCCTCAACACCTGGGTCCCACAGGATAGTGTGGGGCTGTGCAGGGCCCCTGTGCTTTGAAGGGGTTGAGGTCAGTGCAGGGAAGGGGTGGTGGGGGGGAGCATCACAGTGGGGAAGACTGTGGGGACCTCTTTGGTCCCTGGAGGGAAGGTGAATTCTGGGATGCGATGGTCCCTGCATCCCATCTCCCTGCAGCTTGATCCCCGCCGAGAAGTGCCAGCAGGAGGGAGCCTGCCTTCTCCTGACCGTGTTTGACTACGACATGCTGGGGGCCAACGACCTGGAGGGTGAAGCCTTCTTCCCCCTCTGCCACCTGCCTGGCCTCAGCCCCGATGAGGACCCTGCTGATGCAGGAAGGGTGCCCCAGACCCGCCTGCCCCTCACGCACCCCAAAGCCACCGGTACGTGGAGCCACTGCTGAGCTGAGCTGAGCCCCAGCAGCCCCACCACATGAGGAGGGGCTGCGGTGAGCATCTCCCACCACCGCTCCCCTCCTCTTTGGCAGGAGATGAGATTCTCCAGCTGCTGGAGTCCAGGAAGGGGGACAAAGAGGCTCAGGCCTTTGTCAAGCTCCGCAAGCAACGAGCCAAGCAGTCCAAGGAGACAGAATGAGGAAGAGGGGCCTGAAATGAGGGGGTCGAGCCCCCTCTGGAATTTTCCTGGTGCAGGGACCAGGAGTGAGAGGGGGTCCCTGTGCCCTGCAAACCTTCCCAGCACCCTTGGGTAGCCCCTGTGAGGCTGGGGAGGGGGTACCCCGTATTTCAGGGCATTTCTTTGCCTGTCTGGACTAGAGACACTACTCTAGGGATGGGAGATTGTCCGGCTGTCCCTGCCCACCCCCTCATTAGCTTGTCACTGCTGGTACCACATCTCGTGGCTATGTCCCCAAAACTGTCTGCAGCATGGTGTCAGGACAAAGTAAAGGCATCATCATTTATTTGGGGTGGGGACAACCAGTGGCCAAACCCACTTTTTCTTTTTTTCTTTTTTCCCTTTTCACCTATTCTTTTCCTTCTTTTTTTTTTTTTTTTTTTTTCCCCATGGATCAGCCTCTAAGTTTAAATTAAAAGCAACAAAGCTCATGTGTGATCTGAGGCTGTGCAGGGAGTGCTTTAGGTGATGGCCCTGGGCTGGGCAGAAGCTGTGGCAGGAGGGTGGCAGGGTGGGTTAAGGCATTTGGCGTAAGGTGAGGGCTGCCATCCTTGATGGGGTTAAGGCAGGAAGAGGCAGCTGGATGCAGGGTTTCAGAGGGAGGAGATGGCACATGAATGAATTTGTCCAAGTTTCCCATTGAAAAGAGGATGGGGAGCTGCAATGGTGCTGAGGCCGGCACCACTGGGAAGGAGCTGGATCAGCACTGGGAGGCGGCAGGGTCCCACACCCTGGGGCCAGCAGTGCCTGGCCTGGTGGGTGCTTGTTCCTCCCCTCCCAGCCTTGACTGGTTCCTGCAGGTATCAAGTCTTTCGTTGATTGGAAGAGACCTTAAAGTTCCTCCAGCTCCAACCCCTGCCACGGGCAGGGACCCCTTCCACTGGAGCAGCTTGCTCCAAGCCCCTGTGTCCAACCTGGCCTTGAGCACTGCCAGGGATGGGGCAGCCACAGCTTCTCTGGGCACCCTGTGCCAGCGCCTCAGCACCCTCACAGGGAAGAGCTTCTGCCTAAGAGCTCAGCTCAGTCTCCCCTCGGGCAGGTTCAAGCCATTCCCCTTGGCCTGTCCCTCCATCCCTTGTCCCAAGCCCCTCTCCAGGTTTCCTGCAGCCCCTTTAGGCACTGGAGCTGCTCTCAGGTCTCCCCTTCAGGAGCCTTCTCTTCTCCAGGCTGCCCCAGCCCAGGTCTCTCAGCCTGGCTCCAGAGCAGACCTGATCCAGCCCTCGGAGTATCAGTTTGGGCAAGGGCTTGGCTGTGCTACATGAGCTGGGCTGTTTTCCTCTGCAGGGACTCAGGTGGTGCTGTTCTGAGTTATGGACCATTGCAAAATATCACCTACACCGAGGTATAAATCTAACAGCCAGGAAAGCTGCCACTGCCTGGCTCAGGATGGAGCTGGGTTTTGGTCTGTGACTCACACATAAGCACCAGGTCTGGTCAAAAGGCTTTCAGGATGGGCAGTGTATGGTAGCTGATGATGAAAGAAGGACCCCGTGCAGATTTGTGTGTCCCCAGCTGCGCAGTGCTGGCAGAAAGCAGGCGCCTGGCACCTCCTTGCAGAAAGTGAGTCTGGCTTTCTGGTCCCATGGTTGTTTTAAGAATGTTCATAGCTCTCCTATTTTACCACCACCTGCACTGGGCACCATCTGCAGCAAGGAGCATGGACAGCCCCATCAGCCAAACCTCAGGGTGCTTGGGGCTGCCCAGAACCCAGGCACAGCAGCAGGACCCAGTTTGTGCTGGGGACCTGGGTCCCTCCCTCTGTCAGGGGTGGGAGCACTGCAGGGTGCACATGGGGTGAGGGGGTTGGTGAAGCTTCCGCAGCACCAGTCTTAGGAGGAGCGGCTGAGGGAGCCAAGGTTGCTCACCCTGGAGGCTCAGGGGCTACCTTATTGCTCTGTGAAACCACCTGACAGGAGGATGGAGCTGGGGGCCAGGGTGGGTGTGTGTGGATCTGTTCTTCCAAGTAATAAGCAACAGGATGAGAGGAAACAGTCTCAAGTTGCACCAGGGGACGTTTAGGCTGGATATGAGGAAAACTGTCCCTGAAAAGGTTGTCAAGCGCTGGAACAGGCTGCCCAGTGTGGAGTCACCATCCCTGGAGGTATTTAAGAGATGTGTAGATGTGGTGCTTAGGGACTATGGTTTAGTTGTGGACTTGGCAGTTCTGGGCTCACGGTTGGAATTGATGATCTTAAAGGTCTTTTCCAACCTAAATGATTCTTACTCTGTGATTCTATTTGGTGGTGCTTCTTGGAGCTCACCTTAGCTGCATATCTTACTAGTAATTACTAATAATAAATGGGGTACTCCCTCTGCCCTGATCCTGCAGGGGAGTGCTGTGCTTGAGCTGCAGCAGGTACCTGGGAGCTGCCATGTTCTGGCAAATGAGAAGCATCACCCTCCCAGGTGCCTGAGAACCCGCGGGGCAGAGAAACCACGGGGTCAGCTCAGGACAAGCTCTCAATGCAGAGGTGGGAAAAACCCCAATGAGCTCCTTTTGTGTTGTGTGACGTGGTGAGGCTCAATCAAACCTGAAGCAAGAGGGTTAAGGTGCTGCTGGCTCACAAGAAAACATTTGCTGGTTTAAGTCACTCGTTTCAGCCCCTTGTAGCTCTGCAGAGAAATAAGGTTCTGGAGAAAGGTCCCTGCTTGTAGAAGAGGAGATGCCATCCCAGGTTGCTGCTGCTGCTCCCAGTAAGGAGAAGCCCCGTGCCTGCCCCCTGCAGCATATCTGGTGTTGGCATCCACCGGCACCTGGCCTCATGCTCCATTGCAAGGCTGTTACACAGTGCTGAGCCTTGGGTGGTGGTTGGGTTTAGCTCTAAGTTTAAAATGGTTGTGCTATAAATTTCCCTGGGCTGCCCATCATCTAAGCTGGTGTCACCACACCAACCAGTGTAGCCCCAAGAACGGCTGACACTGGCAAACCTCAGGTTTGGGGGTGTACGAACACCTTTATTAGCCAAGGTAGTGTAGCTGAATATTTTGCTCAGCTCTGGGCAGTTGTGTGAGTCCCACCCAAAAAGAAATTATACCCTTCACAGAGAAAGAAATAAACGTTACGCTTGGATTGTTTAACTAACCCCTGGACGAGGATGAGAATAGCCTAAGCATTAAACAGATATGGCTTGAAGCACACAAAACCAGCTTCTAGCAAATGTAAGACTGAGGAGGAAGAAACCCCCATCACCTGGTGAAGAACCCCAACACAGGTGAACTGTGACAATGCAAGAGGGAAGGGGGTAGGCAGCCTATGAAATTTTATTCTACTAATACCCTGTAATAAAAATCGGGTGATTTAAAAGGCTGTCCTGGGTTCAGCAGTAGCAGTCATTTTTCTCCTTCCTAGTAGCTGGTGCAGTGCTGTGGTTTTGACTTTCAGCCTGGGAACAACACTGATAACACCGATGGTTTTAGTTGCTGCTCAGTAATGTTTAGTCTGACCAAGGACTTTCTGAGTCTTGTGCTCTGCCAGGGAGGAGGGGAAGCCGGGAGGAAGCAGAGCCAGGACACCTGACCCAAACTGACCAAAGAGGTATTCCATACCACAGCACGTCATGCCCAGTATATAAACTGGGGGCAGTTACGTGGAAGGGCAAGATCACTGCTGTGGTCGGGCTGGGTATCAGTCAGTGGGTGGGGAGCGGTTGTATTCTCTTCCCTTGTTATTTCCCTTATCATTATTAGTGGTAGCAGTAGTGGTTTGTGTTATACCTTAGTTACTGGACTGTTCTTATCTCAACCCGTGGGAGTTAACATTCTTTCGATTCTCCTTCCCATCCCTCCGGGAGCCAGGGGACAAAGCAGGAGTGAGTGAGCAGCTGTGTGTTTTTCCTGAATTACTGACTGGACTTAAACCACGACAATGGCCTTTGCCCATAGCAAGGGGGTTGAAACGCGACGATCTTTAAAGTTCCTCCCAACCCAAACCAGTCTGGTTCTGTAATTCTGTGCCCCACCCAATCACACTTCAGCAGATTTCTTTTTTCTTAGCAAAAAAATAAAAATTTATTGTCATCTAAAAAAAAAAAAACCAACAGAAAAAACAAACAAACCAAAACCCATTCTGCCCTTGGAAACTGTGACACAGATCAAGTTCTTTCCAGCCCCACATGCAAATTCACTCTGCCAAGAAAAAGAGTCTAAACCGGGTATCCGACAGCCAAAACACGTATTTACAGAGTACGAGAGAACAACAGCTGAAATCACAGTTCTATACATGGAATCAACAACACGTTTTACACAGCACCGATCACCATTCTGCCAACTTCTACACAGACTAGGGGCGCTTCTGCCCAGTGCCCTTCCTCCTGGGGAGGAGCCTGGTCAAGAATTGCCACCAGAAATACTGCAGTGTGTATTATTATTATTATTTTTAAACGTATACTGTATTTATTTTGTTTTAACATTGGAAGCTATGGAGTGGGGAAGCCCCAGAAATCTCTCTGATGCAGTCACTAGTTTGCAGGAATACTTCACCTTTAAAATATCAGGTTTTACATCAGTAACATCTATTCTGTTGGCCATCACTCCAAGGGTTATTCTAATTCTGGAGGAAAACACTGGTAATATTCTTCCTTCTCAGATGAGGAAAAAGAGAGGAGGCTGGTGGAAGAGCCATGAATTACTGAGCCTGTCCAGCACTACACACCTCCTCACAGGGTAAAGGCTTCTCTTCACTGTCTCAGCTGCACAAGCCTTGCAGATGGCTCAAGTTCAGCTTCAGAGATGTACAGAAAGTGTAAAACCCTACAGCAGGGGACTGGCTACAGCAACCCCCTTCGGGGGAAAATATGCTCCAGCTCCAAGACCTTCCCCTGGTCCCTCCTGTGCCACTGTGCCCTGGCCACAGCTGGCAGATGGCTACAGCACCTAAGGTCAGAGGTGACCTAAAAGTGGTCCTGTTAGTCCAAAGCACTGACAAAATTCTTCAGCTCCTGGCTATTGCCCTTGCTTTTTGATGTCCATCTACCCAGGGTAGTGTTGGCTTAAGCCACCTGCTTCTATATTCTTTTTTCATAATAATGTACAAGTTTGACCTTTAAGATACTGTGGTTTCACAACACAATTAAGAATCTCTTCCCCCAGCTCTTAAGTTGGACTAACTGTGCATCCAACCTGCACAATTAGTCACCGAGGTCAACACTTCTGAAGCTCCCACAAATGTGGGGAGGAAAATCCCATTATCCATAAGGAGTCTGTGTGAAGAAGCAGGGCCCAGACATAGTCATGGCTGCTCACCAATAGCCAGCTGGGTTGCTCAGCAAAAGCTTTGTGGACCAAAACTTTGTTGTTAAGCATGGCCAGAAAGGCCCTCTTAATTCTGTGTCCTGTAAAAGGAAGCTCCTGCTTCAAAAGGAAGCTTGACAGTACCTTACGCGGGCACATCACCACAGAGAAGCTGACCACAGACTCTTAAAAGCAGTGCTGTGATTTTGGCCCATCCCTCCTGCCCAGGGCAGGCAGGAACCACTGCTGGAGTGGGTCAGCAGTGCTGCCCCTGCCCCTGCCCCTTGCTCTCCCCTCCCTTGTTATAAAACTGTCATGGAAATGGCCCTCTAAGATATCCACGAAATATGCAAAGATGAAAGTTCTCTTTTCCATCTGATGCTTAAGAAAATAATTCACATTTCAGATTTATATTTTTTTTAAAAGCAGCAGAGAAATTGATAGAAACCTCAATTTAGGATGTGTTTCTTGAAGAACCAAAGGAAAGTGAGAAACAGCGTATGTGCTTGTGCAAAGAGAGTGCTGAGATACAAGGGGTTGGGAGCATGGGAAGAGGCTGGTGCTAATTCCTTCAGGCTTTTCAGCCACAAGTGCAGTGCAGTGATGGAAAGTTTAGTTTTGAATTCTTTGGTCCTTCAGTATAAGTTTAAAACAGAGAAACGCTTTTACTCAAATGGGAAAAACATGATTTCTCTGGCCTGAATTTTATCTTGTACTCCCCTGCCTAAGCAATATGACCTATGGAAATGGGGGGAAAATACCTCTTTTCCCCCTAGACACAGTAGCCTGCATCACACCAGGACTTGGAGTCCCACTGAGACATCTGAAAGTTTTATCCGAAAAGAAGGGACAAAGGGAAAAGGCCCAGTGCAAGTCAGATGCAGTCATGCAGGTGGGTGCCGGACAGTTCTACCAAGGGTAGTGTTGTCTTAAGCCAGAAGAAGAGGGGTAGCCAAAAGCAGCATTACCCTGAAGAGTCCCACAGGGAGGCAGCAGAGCAGAAAACCCACCATGCTAATACAAAGTGTTACAAACCAACAGCCAAGAGGCTGAGTTGTTCTGGTTCTTTATAAATATTAAAGACCCGATTCAAGACTTTATTTCCTATGATTTAAGTTAGTTACAAAAATTATAGTAAATTTTTACCTTAACTGGGCTTTTTCCTCCTCTCCCCCCTTCTTCCAGGCCCCCCCTTTTATTTTTTTCCTAAGAAACACTCACATATTTTCCTTAAAGGTCTCTCAAGATCAGACCAAGGCAGATGCACTGCCCCATGGCACAGACATTCAAAGGTTATAACCAAACAACATAGCCACAATAGTCACTCAACAGTGTCTCTCCATAAAAAAAAAATAATTAAAAAAAACCTGATGCTAGTTACAATAAAATACACATGGAAAGAAAGAAAAAAAAAAAAAGGCATTTTTGCCAAAAAACCCAGAAACAAGTTAATGGGAAAAACATAAAAAGAACTACACAGAGCTGCACTTAGAGATCATCTGGGAATGCATATGAACCCTTTCCATGTGAAGGAAAGGTGGAATTACGGAAGCAAACCTAATTATGTCTTTGCATTAAATATGAAGTTTTCTGAGAGGCTCCAGTAAAAATTCTGTTTTCCTACAACAGTGGGCTGCTGGAGGTTCCAGTGCTTTTCCAGGCCAGAGAGGGGCAGCACAGGCAGCATCCCTGTGCAAAATAAAAATGTTTCATCAACTGAGTGGCCTTTTGGTTGAGATCCCAGCAGGTTACTGCAATCCACCCGATGTAAAAAACCAGCAGACACATGGGTGAAGGAAGTCACAGCTCAGCTACTGGACAGGTCTAAGTTGATGGCATTTCTTTGTCACACTGGACTTTCTCTGTCACCACAGGTACACATGATTTGTAGCATGAGGGCTTCTGGACCCAGGGCTCCACCAAACCATCCTGGAGGTGCTGACTCAGGCAACATTGACTCTTCAATGTTATCAACATCAAAAAGCCTGGAATTGTTTCATGCATTTCAGCACTGACTGTGAACCAGGTCCCTGTCGCTAAAACAAAACTCATCTGATCTGAAACAGTAAAAAGTCTCCAGAGAACTACCAGACAAAGGGGGGCCTGGAGAGAACCAACCTCTGCATTGGTATTTCTTTCATAAAGGCTTTTAGCTGACACAAATGCAATAATTCTAAGGCTGCTCAGACTTGAAACATGTCTGCTGCATCAGCAATGAACACTAGCCACTGAATCTGGGGGCTTGACTTGTGCTAGATCCAAAACATTTTCTTTCCCTCTTTTCTTCTTTTCATAAAAATATACAAAGAGTGTAAAAAAATTTAAAAAGCGAACTTTGCTGATTAAATGACAAAGTTCCTGCACATTCAGAGCTCAGCACTGGAAGGCCCACCAGGCAGGCACCCAGCGGAGCTTCCATCAGGGAGGACAGCTTTAACCAAGCTGGGTCAGTGAAAAAGCAGGGAGACCAAGGACATGAACTAGTAACTTCAATACACCTTGATCCTCCCTGTGATTGTAACTCTTCCTCTGGAAAGCACATGGAAGCCCCTCTTGCCCACTCTAAATACTTCTGGGAATAGTCAAAAATTTGTTATCACCTAAATAGAAAAGAGGAGAAACAGAGACTCTTTGCAAATGGCCCTTTGATCTGTATTAAAAACAGCTCTCAAAGTTCCTCAAGAGTTAGAATTAATGGGGCACAGGTGAGGGGCAGTTTAGATACAGGATGTAAAATATTAAAAAGTGCTCTGCAACTAATTTTTGTTTTGTGTGTGTATGTGCGTGTGCGTGCATATACATACACATTCACAAACACGCACTTACACACACATATATACATATATATATATACACATACATATATATGTACGTATGTATAAAGTTAAAAAGTTCTACACGATATGATTAGAACAAGTGTCCTTGGAAGGTCACGACTGGAGAGGGTGGGGCCTGTTGGGATGGCAGATAGGGCACTCGCCCTCCTCAGCGCAGGTCTCACACAGCACTGCATGTTGGCACGGTAACACCACCCGGTTCTCCTTCTGACATTCAAGGCATTTCACTGACTGCATCTGAAATACCGCCTGCAAGAGAGGGGGACAGGACAAAACACAAGCATCAAAGTCACAAAACAGAGGGGCTGCTGTCCTGCACTATGCAATTGGGGAACAGCAAGGAGGCAACAGGGGAGAGACCTGCAGGTGTCCACCCATTCACCTGAAGCAAAAGCAAAGCAGCACAGGACAATGTCTTTTAGGACCTTTAGGATCAACAGAACAGCTTTGACTGACTTAAACTCTTGTGCTTTAGGCACAAAAATAATGTAGGTATTTTCCCATAAGCTGGCTAAACCTCACTTCGGCTACATCCACATAGAATTGGTTTGACAGACTACCCTGAGAAAAGGGAAAAGCACCATGATATGCAGGAGTAAAGAGAGCAATCCCTTCCAAACAAAGCCTGGCACTCACCTTATCAACTTTCTCCAGGTTTGCCCGAAGCTGTTTCTGAAGGGTGTAAAGTGAAGACAGTGAAAGCGTTTCCAGGTCAGCAAAGGAGCACAGAAACTGTGGGTCCTGGCCTGTGTGGATCCTCTCCAGCTCCTCCTGAAGTTTCTTCACTTGAAGCTCCAAGGCTTCCCTCTGCTCTCGGGCCAGTTCACATTCCATGTTAGCTGTGTTGGCGCGATCATTTGCTTCCTCTGCCTCCTTTTTCCAAGCATCACAAGCCTACAAGTTCCAACAAAGAAGGCAAAAGAAGCAGTCTGAAAACTTGGTCATCCTCCAAAAGAGAATCCAAGGGAAAATAATCTATTTCCATACACTCATCACCAGGAGTGCATTCTGTCCAACTTGCCCTGTTCCCAGATTTTGAAACATCCTTGGAGCTTTGTGCTTCAATGTTCTGCTCATCCCAAATACCCCATCTGGTTGGGCTGTGGTTCTACATAGTTGGCTCACATAACGAAGAGGATGAACTCTGCATATTGGCAAAATTGCCATGGAACTAAGTCAACTGGAAGGTCTAAGAGACTGTCAAGCACTCCAGTCCATCTGTATGACACCTGGCCTTGCACTTCCAGCATCTGAATACATCAGGCACAGTGACTCAGTCCCTCTTGCCATGGGAGAGGGAAGAATAAGGTTGCTTAAGAGAATGTGTTTATAAACCTACAGTCCTTCCCATCACCTCACTGCCTGGAAAGCTCCTGGTGAAATGCTGACACCCTTCTACTCCTTTACATTCGCTAATTTCTCTTCTCGGGAGTTGCTTAAGTACCTGTTTGGCTTGTTTCCAAGACTCTTCCCACTGCTTTATTGTGCCATTGGCTTCATCCAGTTCTTGTCGTAGCCGTGCCAGCTCAGCAGCACCTGGACCTGACAGAAATGCAGGTGAGGTACTGGGCGAAAAACTCCCTGAAGCAATGTGTTCCCATATGCTGCTGTTCATCCCATTTAAACCTGTTTCACAGGGAAATAGAGAGGGTTATATCACTGGCAATTTCCCCATTTCCTCCCTACCCCTGTGAAATCCAGGACTGAAAAATGTGTACACAGGAGAGATAAGATCATCTTAAGAATTACTTTCATCCCCAGTACCCAGGAGTCTGCAGTAAAGTGACTTACTAGGGGAAGTTTCACACCATTAGACCTCATCTTTAATCATAAAAGTAGCATCCAAGAAACTGAGTGGAGGCAACTTTTGAGCCAGGCTGGGTTTAAAAACATTGATTTTACAGCAGAGCTGACTACCAGCTTGAATTCCCCTTCTCCTATGAGAACCTGTGAACTGCTTTCTGCCTTCCCACTTGCGTGCAGTACAGCCATCAGCACTGGTGACCAGGCTGCTTCATGCAACTAGTCCAGGTGATGATTCTTCTCATATATACTCTAAGAAAACATATGCTTTTGTATCCTCAGCTTGGTACTTAGGAAATGAGTCTCACTTCCCAAACAGCGAGACTAACATGTGCCAATGTCATCACTGTTTGCATATGCAAGAAACAGAACTAACTGGAAAACCCTGTTTATAAACAAGTGGAGGTGAGCTTCATCCCCAGCAGAGCTCTAGCATAAATCTAGTTATGGGCACTGGAGAAGACTGACTAGCCACTTCCTTAGTTTAGCTTGTTCAAACAGTTTCTCTTTTCAGAAAGAAATTCAAGGCTTAGGAGACAAAGCAGTAGAAAAACAGTTGTAAGCAAAACACTGTTTTTCACAGCCTCTTTTAACAATAACAACAATAAAAAATCTACTTAAAATAAGCATCTACATTTTGTATTCAGGGGAAAACTAGTAGGAAAAGCTACTATCAAGACAGAGCTGCCAAGTGGACTCTTAGGCACACAGACATGCACCACTTTGATGGATAAGTCATTTTCATTCAGTGGTGCTTACCACTGGCTGCGGACATTCCTAGATCTAGTTGTATTTGTTAATTCTGATCTTACAGCCGCCAAACTGACAGTTTCTGACAAGCCCCGGGGCCTACGGCCTCTTGCTGAGGGCTAACCCTCACAACCTCCCTTCTGGTACCACCCAAGACACAGTTGTGGAAAAATGCAGCTGAAAAATAGTGACTTGTCTTCACTAAGGGCTTAGGTGCCTTGACAAGTCGTTCAGCAGAGCAACAAGGGATCTTTGCCGACTCAAGCCATTTACCACAGATCCATTTCAGCTACTCTGAAGTGTGCTCATTCAAAAGGAAGCAGTCTTAATGGAATCCCAATTCACATTTTGTTTTAAAATAATTCAGTTTTCTCAAATGGGAACCTAGCGCTAAGCAGGATGCTGGCAAGCCACAAATTCTGTCATTTTATCTTGTCATTCCTTTGTACTCTCTCTTTCAACCTGCTGTTCTCATTTTACACTTACATCGGTCAGGAATGCCTTCTCTGTGCATTTTGTATATAGCACACTGGGAACTAGCCCAGGACTAGGTATTTTTAACTCAACTGCAATACAAACAAGTAATAACTAAACACACTACACACTAATGTGTGCACTCAGCAAGTTACATGGAATAGAGAGATTCTAGATTCCCAACTGCTAGGTTACTATTTAAATAACTTATCAAAACCTTTGCAAAGTACTTTTGTTGTATTACAAGAAAATATCTAACTTTTATCTTAAAAATAAATTTAAATACATTTGTGAATATCCTACATGTCTTTTGGGGTTTTTGTTTGTATAAATTCATGGTCAAGACAAATGTAACTGCTTGTTTCTTCTGAAATTGAAAGCAGGCCTTATCAGCAAGTTTTCATTTTCTTACTGAAACAGAGAACAGCCAGCCTCAACACTAATTACTAGCAGAGATGCTCTCTGATGTCTCTTTTCTTATTACAGTAAGTTTAAAAGCTGTTAAAGCCAAACAAATAGCAATCCCAAGGCATGGCAGCATGGCTCTGGCCTATGCAGACAAGGGATGAAGTTACACAGTGTATGTAGAAACAGATTGCAAAAGCATGTAATCCCTTTCTGAAGTTAAGCTGAATATAAGGATTAGTGTATCTCAAATCAGAAGAAACATTTGCATCTAGTATCAACAGAGAGAACTAATATTTACTAACAGAAATGAGCAGAGCCACTGTCACTGCAGCCTTGAGCCTAGTTTTATTTCTTGAGGTAAGCCTGTGTCTAGATAATAAAATCTATTTGGCCTCTCACTGCCCAGTTGTGCTTGATACAGCTGTGGAGCTTTAAAGCAGTTTCTCAGCCCTTCACAATCGTCATAAACATATCCTCAAAGGTGGAAGAAGACACAAAGGGGACAAAGCTGAAGGTGGAATACTTAGATTTTTTGCAAAGTCCAAGACCTGCAGAGTACCAAATAGGAGAGAAAAAAAATAAATCACCCAAGCCTGCTCTAGAGTTCCTATAAGTCAATCTGATCTACAAGCAGTCTTCAGGGCAAACTGCAATTCCCACCTTAACTAAGCAGAGCTGAGGACTCAACTCTGAGTTTTATGTGAAGCAAAGTCTCAGCACAGCACTGCTGGCACGAAAAGGCAAAGCTCTTTTCCTTGATCATCATCACAACAGTGAGTCACTTAACCTGTCTGCCCCTTCTTCTCAGCCTAGAAACGTGGGAAGCAGAGGGAATTCCTCCCTTGTTCAGAAGGCATTAGCTGATTTTCTGTAAAGCAGCTCCTAGTACTGTAGCTGTTCTCATGAGAAGAGATACAAATGGCAGCAGTGGAATAATACATTAAAATTAAAGCTAACTTATAATACTTACATGGCACAGACAGGCATGTACATGGGGAACACACAGACTGTGCATTTACCTAATGATCCGTGAGAAGCTGATGTCCCCAGGAACGTGCTTTCTGATTGGCTTAAGTGTCCCTGGGGCTGATGAAGGAAATGCGATGAGAGGCTGACTGGTGGAGAAGGAGAGGCAGAGTGGAAGGAGGCAGAGCTTCCAAGTGACCCGGGGATATTTACAGGAGCAGAACTTTGCAGCAAACTCCCACCTGGACAAAGAACACACAGAGAGTATGGCTATGTATGAACATGAAGTATGGGCACAGTGCAGGAGTTCAGAGCAGAAGGCACTGGGTTCCCTTTCTCCTCCCTAAGTCCCTCAGAATTCCCTCTGCTTCTCATCACACTCCATTCCCCTTTCAGCCTTTAAGAGAAGGCTGCCACCCTATGACCCACATAGATTGAAACCCTAAAGAGTTCAATGGACTATTCTTTCATCAGCCAAAGCAACAAGAAGTTTTCTGAGGAGAGTTCAGTCCCTATCAGTCTAGAGAAGATGAATTTTGCTATTATCTGGTGAAATACTTTGCAATGAACATTTCAGTGCTAAAACATGTTCCTCTGCCTTCAACACTTCCGAACAACCTGCAGTAAGACAACTATCACGCTTGGTCAGGTCATGATCTTAACCAGTAAAAATCAGTAACAAGCTTCAGTCATTTTAGCCACACCTGAGTGCCCAGATCGAACAGCCTCAAACAAAGAAAAGCCAAACCTCCAAAGACATCACACTTCCCTTACCCAGAGGTCATTCTGCCTGCCACACACAGCTTGAGGGAGATCTCAGCCCTGCTCCCCACTCTCTCCTTGTCTCCGTTAGATATTCACCAGGTAACACCCTGATCTGACATGAACAGAGGGAAAAGCAGTATGGAGCACCTCTAAGCCACTGCAGATGGGTAGCAGCAGAAGACATGTACACTTTTGCAGGGAAGCAGAAGTGATATTCTTCAGGGTTCCTTCTGTAAGTCCCTTCCTACTTCAATACATCTCCAGGAGTGTAGTTCCCTTGTAAACCTTCACGCAACCAGAGGTAGGTCCCGTTCAAAAACCTGTCTTACATAGCAAGGGTAGCCAGAAACTAGACGGGTAGAAGTGGCCTTAGAATACCTCCACATACTAAAATGAGACAGACATTACAGGGATCAAACCAGCAGACCATGGTGACACTCTGACAGATGGATAGCATTACAGGTCAGTGAGTTTCCTGTTACTGCTAGGGAGAGTTTTCTGCTTAAGATGCAAATCAGTATACTTTGGCCTGTTTTTAAAGGTATCAGATGCCTTCTAGAGTCTACTTACACACTTCCAAAAACCAAAGAAAAAAAAACCAAAACCAAAAAACCACAATCCCCAAAAAAACACAACCAACAAAAAAACCCAAAAAAAACATATCAAGACCCATTCAGTTTCAAGGAACATCCCCAAGACACCTGGGCCCAATGGCAAGAACTCAGCTCTGCTAGTTAATGAGGGCAAGCTTTCACTTCAAAGACTCTCAGTGGTTGCCAGAGTTTGTTATAATTGTAATTTTGGGACTGGTTTTAGAGCTTTGTTGGGCTGGCTCCACTGAGGTGACTGGGCAACACTGCTTGGCAGAAGATAAAGAAAGCTCTGTTGCTTTCATGTACCTATCATGATGCCACTCGTGTGGGGCACTGTGCTGCTGTCAAATGTCTTCTCCAGGGCAGCCACTCCGAATTCATTCAGGTCCAGGTCATCCAAGGCAGACTCTGCCAGACACAGAGGTACCAATTATGTTATAAAGGACCAACAACTTCAAGAGATAGGATGGCCCAAAGAGCCTACATGCAGAGGAGCTTTTCCTCTCTATTTGTCAGTCTGCACGGCCCTACTCTCCGCCCTGTGTGACGCTGTTCTTAAATGCTTTGGCAGAAGTGTCATGGGCAGCTTTTGAGTTTAGGTCCTTTGTCTGATCCGGTTCTTTTCATCTCAAAGTATTCCCAAATATACGAAAACCGCAGTTTCCGTAAGTCTTCCCCAAACTGTTCTTTTAAGTCTGTCCATAATATGCAGTAACACTGGCTTATGACACATCTGGATCTGGCTTGTGTCCCTAATTTGCTGAAGAGCCACTCAGAAAAGAAATTCCAGTAGAAGGGAACACTTGAAAAACATCAGAGTTTCAAAGATAGTGTAAAATAAAGAAAGATTATGAATGCCTGTAAATGTTACATCTATTTGAACATGCCTCATCACTAATCATGATCAATAGAATTCCATCCCACACATGCCCCCTCACCTGCTCTATTTTTAACAAATTAGTAATTTCACCTCAGAAATGTTAGACTAAAAACAGGAGGGAAAGGAGAGGGAAGAGAGAAAAAAAAAAAAAAAAAAAAAAAAACAGGTGACCAAAAAATCCTGTACCTAAGAGGGATAATTCTGCTCTTTAGACTCTCCTGCTCTCCTTCTTCTTATAGCCTCTGTCCTACACTCTATGAAGGGCAAATCCTTATAATCTACCTGTTGGTCATCCTTGCTATGAAATCGTCATTTAGAATGTAAGGGGCTGTTACTGTGGAAAATGCCCCTGTGATTTCCTGCCTACTCAAAGACCTCTTTGTCACTTTGACTACCAAAAATAAAGCCCTTTACACCATCTGACATTCTGAATAAGTGGCTCAGAGGCCTTCTGTTGGTCCCTTGGGTGAATTTCATCCATAATAACCTGCAGAAAACATCAGATGTGTCAGAGTCACAGAAAAAGCTTACAGCCTGGGGAATCTGCCATCAATGACAGAGATGAAAAACTGCAGCTCACTGGAACACCCATGATACTGCAATTCTCATACCTGGTGGTCCATGTCTGAGGAAGCCCTACTAGCATAAATAAAAAAAGGCAAAGTTACCTATGACAGACTCAACGGTGTCACTGGTTGGGTAGAAGGGAAGGGCATTGGCATTCATGCCTGGTATGCTGCTGGTGCCAGCAGGGCTTGGGGGCGTTGCAGCCAGACTGGAGGTGATACTAGAGGAGATGCTGGATGTCAGTGGGCTCCCCACTGGGAGAATACCCAGTATGTCCTGAAACAAGAGTTTTAAAAGGGAAAGAGGTAGGAAATAAAACATCCTTATAGAAGAATCCCTTCAGAAACATGCAGCAACAAGCCAAAGATCAGCAGCAAACCTGTTCTTGCCTGCTTCCAACCTGACAGATGGGCTGGTGCTACCACTGGGCTGGGGGTGGGGGAAGAGATTAACAGCTTTTCTTTAATTTCTGCCAACTGTTCTTCATTCCATCCCAGTCTGTTCCTGTCCCTAGTATTACAAACATCTTTCAGGCTGCCCCAGAATAAATTCCTGTGACCCACAGGCTGCATGCAATCATAGGCATGGGGCACAAAATCACTCATTCAGACTTAGTTCAGCAAACATCTTAGAACCTGATATTAAATTATCTGCTGAATCCTTGAACTTGGGTAACTCTGAAGATCCAGTCCCCCTCAACTTTCTGTAATTTGGAGACTCTCTCCATCACATTATAGGCCTATGAATCTATCCTGAATTCACACAGGTCCTGCATTGCCAGCAAATCATCCCATCTTCATAAAGTAATTCCTCAAGCTGAGCATCCCTAATGGTGTCTGGACACTTATTTACTCCCTGCAGAGTCATTGTGTCCTTTACTGTGGTGGCCTGAGCACTGAGCTAGGCTCAGGGCCCTGCCAGCACTACCGTACCTGCTTGGGCTGTAACAAAGGCTGCTCCTGGTTCCTGTGTTCCAGTGAGTGGGACTTCATTTTTGCTTGCTGCAGTAAAGAAACAGAACAAAAGATAAGCAGAGGAATTAGCAGCACAATTTACAATGGCTGACTGCTGGCATTGGAAAAGCCATGGGGAGCACAGTGCCCTCTTCTCTTACAGCCTGCTCTGGGCCCTAGGTAATTCAGAGGGTGGGAAAGCACAGAAAACACTCCAAGTAATTTGCTTGCTATATACCAAGTTGTCACCCTAGAGTTATGTAAAGACTTGTCACAATTACATTCATCTTCAGTGCTTCTTTTAAGTCCTTTGCTAGCATAAAGCATATCTTAAGAACCAAACCCCCAAATTAATTATTTTGCCTTGCTGTAACTCCTCAGTCCTAACAGTATCTAAAAAAGGGCCTAAACTGTGGGAGGCAAACCATATTTTTAAATTATGTAAACATTTTTCAGCTTTGGGAAAATAAAGTGGGTAGACCCTGTTTTCCCTCAAACTCTTCCAGATCCCAGCTAGGGCTTCACAGTAAAACACAGCGATAATGAACCAGCTTTAAAAGCAACATAATCAAAACTGATTTAAAAAAAACAAAAAAAAAGTCTTCCCCCATCCACTAGCACAGAGAGCTCAAATCCATAAAACATGAAGTTAAGGCTGTCTTGAATTGCAAAACTGCATGAATGCCAACAGATATTCAGAATTACACTATCCTGTCTAAAAATTCAGCTTAAGGACCTTCCAGCACTATATCCTAAATGAATATCAACCCTCTTGCCTCACAATATCCAACAATAACCAGAGTTGTGAATAAAGCTGCCTCATGAGCTTGTCGGTTTGCAAAGGTCTGTCCTGCTGGCCCTGCTCTCTTGATCCCCTGTTGCAACACGTGCAAGGCACAGGGAGGTCAACCACACCCTCCAGGCACAGATAGGGAGCAAAAGTACTGAGAGTCAGGGCTGCTTGTTGACTTGCTCTGCAAACACCCAGGTCTGAAATCAGACATATTCCAGGCATAACATCCACTAGATCGTTTTCATCACAAATACATGACGTACAACAGCAACAAGAGACCCCACGCTAACCTGAAGTAATGCACCTTGACTGTCTGGCTTAAACTGTTTTACGAATAGGATAGATAGATAAATGATTGCTGGAGAGGGATGACATAACCAGACAGGTGAAAGAGCAGCCGAAGAATTCATCTCCTGGGTGTACTTCAGGAAATCATTTTCTCTGTTCAGTTGTATGCCAATGGGCAGATGGGGAGGTCAAAGCCTGGCAAACAGGCAGTTGAGATACGGACACAGATCCTCTGCAGTGGGTGCCACTCTCTCACACTTCCTTGAACAACGTACAGTGTGTTTACATGCAGGGAACTACCACTGAACCAACCACAGGCTCCTCTTCCTTTGCGTGCAATAAATGTGTTATGTTGGTGCATCTGTCTGTGTCTGATAACACACCTGCTAGATTATCCAACACATCCCTACCTTGTTTGTCACTCATTTGAACACAAGATGAGCTATCAAGAGACTTCTGCAGCTAACGGAAAAGCACATATGCAGCCATGCCCCTCTCCTCCCGCTGAAAGACTTCCTACCAGCTGACTCTAGTTGACTCTGGTGCAGTGAAGTCTTACTGGAAGGGATTTTTTTTTCCTTTAAGCAGAAGAAAAAGTGAACTCATTTCTGAGCTAGTCCCATTTCCTGCTGCCTTAAATTCAAGTAACACAAGTGAAACATGAAGCAAACTGATTGTCATCCCCAAGCCAGTCTCCTTTAGCTCTGAGTAACATTAAAAAGGGCATACATTAAGACAGACATTCAAAGGACAGGCTGAAATTCTCCAGCTCACTCTGTGGCAACCAGGAAAGAAAACAAGGGACATAAATTATGACTGAAGCTGGAGGTTTTCTGACCAGCATGGAACAAACCTACTGCTCTGTGTGTCAGGTCTTCAGAACACCTCCCGGTCATGGTACACAAGTCCTCCCAGTGCAGCCAGCTTTTTTCCAGCTTGCTAAATCTTCTGGGACTCAGGGAAAGTATTTTCAGCTTTAACTGCTGGCTCAGCCTTACCATAAACTATGTGGAATCTATTAAATACAGAAGGCGTATTTTTCATTCTAGTAAGACAGAAACTATTGGTACTAATTCTACAGAGGTAAAATGACAAGCCAATTGCAGAGCTGTGCCAGAGTGTCTCTGAAGTTTTCAAATGAGTGAGCAAAATTAAACGCCTAATTATTGGTCTAATTTACAAGCTATATAAGAATAGCTTGTAACCACTGCAGCCAAAGGGAATTAGAGAGAATTTTAAAAGTAAGTAATTATAGATTAAAAGAAAATTAAATTGGGATACTTATGAGACACCTAATTTTGTCTGTAGAAGCCTAGCATAAAGGCAACTGTGATTACTTCTGTCTGTATCTTAATAACTATTTCAGTCATTTAACACAAGGTTTTGCTTAATTAAAGCCACATAACTAAGAAGCTACCTGAATACAGTAGTTCCGTATCGCAGCCTTAAATATGACATAAATGCTTGTCATCTGGCCCTCCTTTTAAAAGTCCCGTTCATGCTCCATCCTATTCTTGGCTAGGCTTGTTGCCTGTTTTCTCCAAAGCAAGGCATTCCTAGCACCCTGTCTCTGCTGGCAGGGAACAGGGGCTCTCTCAGTCCTTAGGTTCGGAGTTCATTCCTCCTTTGCAGCAGAGGCAACAGAGTGAGCACATGTTTTTTCTTTTGTTTTGAAACAACCACTCCAAGCTGCTGTGCCCACAAGAAGTGCCAGGATCACAGCATGGTCTGCTCTTTACCCCCAAAGAAACAGTGCACCATTTTGCGATTTCCTAAGCCACATCCACGTTAAGCAAGACAATGGAAACATTTATAAGAAAACATACATGCATACAGCTTAATCTCTATTTGTCAATAAATCATTTTAACTAGACTTAATAGTGCTCAAGATTGGTACTGCTGCAAAGTTTGGTCATATTTTCCCAAGATTATAATAAATAAAACAAAAACCTTAGAGTCTGCTTCTAAATCCATCCATTTTATGCAAGATCTTGTCTTGACAGATATTTCTACTTTTTTCTCACAGCAGTGCACTACTGATGCAGCAGTATAAGCTTATTAAGGCTAGTTTCTTTAATGTTACAGACAAGAGCTTATATGTAGCCAGGTTGAAAGCAGCACTTTTGTCATTTTGGGTTTTAAGCAACACAGACCAAGTATTTTTATTCCTTTTTTTAATATATATATAGGAACATATAAATATATGTATAATAAAATAGTATATACTAAAATAATAAAATGTATAAAAGGAATACATATAAATATATTAAAAAGCTATTATATATAAAATATATAAATATATAAAGGAATAATATATATATTATACACATATTTATTTTTTTTTTCCCCAAGAACATGTAGGAAACACTTTTGCAGGCACTTCTTCATAATAGTGGCTATTCCTTCCCCTAAATTGAGATGCTGTTCTGTTACAATTACAAACCCAGAGAGGAATAAAAACTGAGACCTGAGCTTGGCTGACTTGGAAGGGAGGGTGCAGAGAAACTATTAACATCAAGAAGGGAAATTCACAAGAAGAAGTTGACTGTGGAAAAGCTCATGTGTGGCAGAGGAGATGGAAGGAACTGTTCTAGACTTAGGGAGCAGTCTGAGTAAGGTGCGACACCAAGAAAGAGAAAACTGAGGAAAGGCAAGACTGGGATATCTAAGAGGGGTAATGGGAAATGTCATTAAGAAATGTGGGTTGGGTAAGAACGCAGAGGGTTCTTCAAATGAGAAAAAGGAATTAAAATTTAATACAGAAGCCACAGGAGAGAGTCAAGGATCATCATGATACAGCCAGAGAAGCAAGAGACAACTAACATGACATTTTTAATACAATGGAAAAATAAATGGTGAAAACAGAAAACAAACCAAGTCACAGAGATCAAGGTAAGAGTTTAGAATGAGGACATAGAAGGAAGGATGAGTTTCCATGAGACAATACAGCAAAAGAAACACCAACTCCTGGCAAGGACCTACATAAGGAAAAAGAAAGCAAGAAGTGATATGTGGGAAGCTACCCAGGGTCAACACAGGACACAAGTGCTGGAGGATTAGGAAAACAAGCAGCAGCTCGACTTCTACAAACTGCATGTGTGATGGCAGCAAGGCAGACAACAGATGGACGATGGAAGAGCCTGGAAGGGAGGCTGAAAGCAACAGCAAAGACCTTAAAACTGCTAATGAGAACAGTGCTTTCTCATTTTTGTTTCTTGAAAAATAAAAAGTACATTCAAGCTAGACTGGGCACTTTCTCATTATTCCTCATCCCCCCAACTCTTCCAGCCAATATTCCCTACTAACCTGGCATTTGAAATTCTTCAAATACTCGGCCCCCACCTGATCTTCTCGCTCAAACCCCGGTGCTTTCTTGTAGCTGCCAGCTGCTGTTACCGAATCTGGAGGAAAACCAATGGTCTCCAAGCTGTGTGGCTTTCCAATGGCACCAGGAGGAGACCCACATATATTAGATGGGCTTCCAAGACTGCTGTTCCTACAAAGAATCTAACAGAAGGAACAAATGTCAAGAAAGTTCAGCCAGCAGCAGCAATGACTTGAAGAGGAGAGGCATCCCATAGAAGAGCTCATTCACTTCACTGTGCACCAATTATACTGACAGTCAACACAAACATACAAGCTTCCAGTAAATGGTAATTATAAACCAGGAAAAATCTCCTTTGATACTGGATTTATACAGTCCCACAATTATGGTTTTATTGTCATTACTTTGTACTGGAGTGCAGTCATATAAAATCCAACCTAAGTTCTAGTTTATTCTTTTTGAGGCCCCAGATGTGACTGATCAAGTTTCCAAACCTGACTGAAACACTCTTTGCTTTCCTTAGGGTACAGTGGATTCTGTCTGCACTCTGAATAGTACTAGTGTGAAACCTGGTAAAGTGCTGCGGCAGTCTGAACAACCAAGCACATCTGAGCTGTGCAATACTATATCTTTTGCTTTCTAGCTGGAAATCTGACAGTTTTAATGCAAGCACAAGCAAGTATCAACAGCTGCATTAAAAACCTCAAGAATTTCCAACAGTTCCATTCTTAGGACTAAAACCAGGGATCACAGTCTCATGCAACAAGGCTAGTTTTGCACTGTAGATGAAGTCACAGACAGCAGCAAAGGAGATTAAGATGTATTTCAGAGAAAGTGCCTACCTGGATCAATGCAGATATCCCATTTCTCTGGGACAAGAAATTATTTGCCTGCACTGGCAAGCATGACTGTGCTTCAGACATCATTTAGACAGCTACTGCTACCACAGATTCAAATGTGGCACAGTCTGGGCTGGCATTAAAAAGGAGCATTCTACAAATGTTTTGATTTAATTTTTTTTACAGACATTCTGCTGTCCACACTTCCCCTACAGTCACAAAGATACTACTCACTGTGGTGGAGGTGGGGCTAGTTGGCAGAGTTCCTGATTTATTCCACACCTACAGTACAAATACAAAACAGAACAGGCCATGTGAGGCTGGCTGCTAGAGGGACCTCTTTCTCTTATTAATTCATCATGGAAAATGATCACCAGCAAAGCCATATTTGTTTGCAAGCTACATGCAGATGCCCCGTGGAGCGATGAAGTCACAGAAAGACATGTGTTGCCATTTGGCATATATCCAAGGATTAGGAAAGACTGTTTGAAAGACCAAGAAGTTACGACAGAAAAGATCTGAACTGTCTATTAAGTGGAAGGTATCTTCAATTGCCCTGCAGTCTTCAGAGACTTTAGATGATACACTCCTAAGATAAAAGCATTTTTGTTTTTACTGTTTTCCAGTGTTATTCAGTGAGAGAATATAATACGCTCAGACTTTAAGACCTGTTTGGGATTCTAGCTGCAATCAAATTCAGGAGTATGATGAACTGTTAGGTTGGCTTTGCACTAATAAAATCAAACTATCATTTCAGAGAGGGAGAATAAGACAAAGTAGATATCCTAAATGAATTCCCTTAATTCTGACTGGTTTCAAATGAGTTAAACTCATGTCATTTTACCTTCTCAAATCCTTAACCAAACATTTGAGAAGGTTGCACACCTTATCAACAGTAATGCGAACAGGAAAGACTTAACTGAAAACAACCCAAACCTTCTGCAAAAACGGTGTGGTCTAGCATTCTGTAGGCTTCTTTGCTCTGTGCACCTTCAACATTTAAAGATCTCCACTCTTGTATGTACAAACAAAGTATTACCAGCTATCTGGGGCATTACTGAAACATATTCCAGAGTTTAGCTACTTCTAGGAGAGGAAGGGAATTGAGGATATCCTCTAATGCAACACACAGTATGCACAAGCTAAACCTCTGAGATTACAGATGCAAACAAACTCAAATGTAAACAAATGTGCCTATGTACTTTTGAAGTAATAATGTCTCTCAGCCTTTAATTAGACTGCTTGGAAACTAAGCCCAATATGTACCTCCAGACAGGAAGGAGTTGGACTTCATGTGCAGATTTCACTTTCAGAAAAGTACATCAACAAACTCAGCAAAGAAAGGAAAGCTTACAAATTTTACAGGCAAGAGGACAATACTAAAGCTACAGAAATGCATGTTCCAAGCAAACAGATCCCTCTAAGAAGTGTGCAGCTGAGATCTAGAAGAAAAATACCATATCCTTTGGGCATTTGAATACTTAAGATTTCTCTTTTTGGGAGAAAGAAGTGACTCAGAGAAGCTGAGATCTATAAAATATAGAAGAAGCTTCCTCACAGTGCTACATACATTGCTAAGGTCTGGGGCATGTGGACTGGAAGGGCTGACGGGAACAGAATCCCCAGCTGCCGACGGCATGTACATCACAGGGCCTGTCTGTGTTGGGCTTGACACAGCTGAGGATTGCTGTAAATCTTCACTGAGTGCAGGCTCTGGAAGAAATAAAAGCACATGGGGCGTTACTCAAAGCTGTACAACTGCAATAGAGCACAAGACGTTTAGAAACAGGAATACCTAGATATTCTCGAGAGAAATATTCCATAAGCACCTACTTGTAAAGTATGAAAGCAAAGATAAACCTCATCTGGGAAATGGCTATTATCTATCTAATATTTCTTACATTATTACTGTCACTTATACATTGTGCTGCTCTTTAGTCCAAAATTATCTCCAAAATTATCTTCCTTACATGAATTGTGTGTTATTCATTCAGCTGTCTTGAATTAAGCAGAGCTTCCTTCATTGCTAGGCACAAAAATTCATGAGTGCATTACAATTAGCTGAGGGAGGTAACGTTTTCTATCTGTGCTGAGTACAAACCATTGCCTCAAAAAAGTAACATACATAAGAAGGCATACACAAAATGAAAATGTCATTGGCTTGGAAGGTAGAGATGCTATAAAACTTGTGGTGTTTATCTAACACAACTCATCATCTTTACAAAAACTATGTAACTGACACTATGCCTGTACGCCAGTATCTTTAAAGTATTGGTTTCAACGGATTTCATGCTAATAATCAGTAAAGCTCATGCTAAGAGCAGATGTAGTAAATGGATGCCTGTTATTTTAATTAAGTCCCTCAATGTTCACCTTGCTAAAAAGGACTAAAAGAAACAATTCCGTAAAACAGCATGAGAAATAACCAAGTTGGAATGACCTAAGTGCTACAGAATGTTCCTCTGGCTTTAAAGTAGTATAGTATCAAGTGCAGTAATCTTGTTACCAAAAGGCATCTCCTAAACAAAGATACTATTTTACACACAAGGGAGTTTGCTAGACACTGTTTCTTTATCAAGATTTCATTCTCTGGTAAGCCTTCTGGATCCTACTGTGTAGCTGCGCTACTGTGTTCTGGGCCATTACAGCCCACAGCTCTATCTATAATTACTGCTTGTTGACAAGGCTTCTTATAAAATGAACTGCATAACCTCTAGAGAATTTACTCTCACCATTCCTTGACAAAGGGAGCAATTACTAATTCCACCTTTTACAAAGGATAATCAAGCAACAAAGAGATTTTCTCAAGGCCACGTAGTGAGTCGGTACCAGAGCCAATCTACTGACTTGTGAGTAACCTGCTCTAATTGCTGCAAATTCAGCAGTGGAGGTCTGGAGTGCAGAAAACGAGTAGGAGCCATAGGATCAGAAGCTAACCATTTATCTGTGAATGTTAGTACCCATGTGAACACAGAACTCCTACAACCAAAACTGCATCACTAGTTTACAGATAATGCAAGTGAGGATTGAAATAATGCCCTACAAATCAGGGAGCTATTGAGAAAAGAGGATTTAAGGAAAAGCAGAGGAAAAAAGTTTCGTATTTTATTTCTCCAACCTGACTTAAAGATTTAAACTCTAAGTAAAACTTCATAAGTAGTAGAATAGTATTTGCTTTTTTAAATGGATCAATAACTATAATTAGCAGTTTTATCCTCAGCTTTTTAAAATACAACACTTTGCAACTTAGCTAAATACAGTTCATCCATCCAGAAAAGGAGAAGCTTTCATTGTTTCCATCCTTCTGAACTGACACTCAAGAGGGAACTTCAAGAGACAGTACAGTGACAGCTGAGGGCTAAGTCCTACAGACTACCTACTGCCTTCAGCTTTGCCAGCACCTAGCATGGTTTTGTAGGAATCAGCAAAGTTAATACTTTGTTTCTGGAAATCCTTCACAGCAGCTCCAGTTTAGCAGCCCTGTATTTTAAACTATTTTGGCCATAAGCTCTTCATAGCTCAAATACACATGAATGGTGAGAGAAGTAGCCCACGTACGTTCTACATGTGCAAAGGCACAGAAGGGTCCTCGGGGACAGCTGCCAGACTGCTGCATATCATTGCATTTGGTGGATTTGTAGATCTACGGGTGGGAAAAAAAAACAAAAACAAAACCAAGACATGAACATGAATAAAACAATGACCAGCATCTCAAAAGTACTGCGAAGAGACTCAACACCACAACAAGAACATAGATAAGAGGTACAAAAGCCAGCAGAGTTCAGGTGATAATTTCAGTGCTTTGTTTCAAAGAAAGGAAAACCCACCTAGTTACAGAAACACCAAAATATGCCCATCACAGCTGGAGCTCACCCAAAGATCAACCCATCGCACATCAGCTCACCCAAAGGTCACCCTTTGCCATAATGTCCCTCAATCTCACTGGAAGCTCCATGGATATTACAAATGGGAAAAAATAGGAAAGAGCTGACAGATGACAGCACAGGATGTTACAGCCACTTGTTTGCAAGGAAAATAGCGAACCATTGACAATGATTGTAGGAAATGGATTATTTCCCTTCCCCCCAGTCTGACAGATGGTAACAATGGTTACTTTGTCAATACACAGCCAACAAAGCTTTTCAACACTGTAACATGAAGCAGACCAGGACAAGGTCTTAATTACAGTTTCTGTAATGATACTAGAATGCTCTGGGCATGCTAACAATTAAAAGCTTGGTGAGTTATAGGACTAGTCTGTGGGTATCTATGGTTTAATACGACCATCATCAACCGAGAACTTTTCCTCAAGGAAAAAGATGCTGTATGCTCACCTGCAAACCCACATCAGGCTTTTAAAATGACCCCTCTCATACATGAGATTGTGCTTACACTTGAGTTTACCCTACTCTTTTTACCTTCTCATATATGGTCTACATAACAAAAAGACACCCCTGCCAAGCACCTGAATTTCAGCTTACTTCCAACATGCACTTTCTCTATATCCCAGGACCATGCTGCAGGCAGCAGACACACTCTCCCAGCTAGCACACTAACTTACTTCGTAAGACTGGAATGCTTTTGCTTTTCTAGTCAGCTACTAAACAGAGCAAGCAGGTTACTGTACCTCTGGATGGAACTGCTGTTCTGTGCGAGTGTGGCAGTATTGGCATGAGTCTCCATTTTCACACTTACTGGGATCTCCCCACTCATCTCCATGTTTCACACTGGGACATGGCGAAGACCTGCGTAAATAAAAGTAGCAGGAGAATGTATCAGACTCAGAGAATCTGACACTGTTTCAGCTTCCCTAAGGTCTGAGAGCCCATGACACAAAGTACAGGCTGTAGGTGAAGCTTTTCACCTCTGAATACTTGCAGGATTGCCTAGACAAAACCTAGAAAAAATACAGTGATGAAGTAATTTAGGTGAAAAATTAATTAAGTCAAATATGCTTTGAAATTTGTTTCCTTTGAGTAGGTCAAAGGAGGAAATTTTCCCTCTCTATTCTGGTAAGACCCCGCAAGGAACACCGTGCCCAGCTGTGGGACCCCAACATAAAAGGTATATGGGACCTGCTTGAGTGAGTCCAGAGGAAATCACAAGGATACTCTGGGGGCTGGAGCACCTCTGCTCTGCAGACAGGCTAAGAGAACTGGGCTGGTTCAGCCTACAGAAGAGAAGGCTCTGGAGATAACTCAGAGCAGCTCTCAGTGCCTAAATGGGCTATAAGAAACGTGGAGAGGAGCTTTGGACAAAGGCCCGTGGGGGAACGACTTTAAACTGACAGAGAGGAGACTGAGATGAGACATTAGGAAGAAGTTCTTCCCTGTGAGGGTGCTGAGGCGTTGGCACAGGGTGCCCAGAGAAGCTGTGGCTGCCCCATCCCTGGCAGTGTTCAAAGCCAGGTTGGACACAAGGGCTTGGAGCAAGCTGCTCCAGTGGAAGGGGTCCCTGCCCATGGCAGGCGATGGAGCTGGATGAGCTTTAAGGTCCCTTCCAACCCAAACCATTCTAGGATTTCTCAATTAGGAGGCAGGTTTGGCTGCCCACTCTCAGCTGTACAATCTGTTTGGCTGGCTGCTGCTTCCCCAGTCCCCATCCTGCTGCATTTTTTCCCCTTCTTGCAATTCTCCAATGAAATAAACATGGTTTAATTCTCCATCTGAAAACAAATACAACCTGAACCAACATAACAATACTAGCAGCTGATGCAATTAGTGTCAGAGATGCTGGGTCTGGTTTCTGTGTTGGAACTGTACATTCATAGAAAGCAAACAAGTTAATCGGCTAATTCTAAAACACTAAATACCTTTACAGTCATGTGTTTCCAGGGTTATACTACAGCCACATGGCAAAGAGGTTGAGTCAGGTCACTGAGCAAAAGGCAAGTCCATTTTCTTTCCCCCAGCCAGGAACCATCCTTTTTCCCAAGTTCTGGGTTTTTGACATAACCTACTTCCCCTGCTCTTTAACCATTCCCTCAAACAACAGCAGAGGGAAGCAGATAGCAACAGACGCCTGCATGAAAGGGGCCACATCAGCTGGGGGTGGGGAAAGCAACACAAGTGAGTGGAGATCAGGAGAGAAGCTTTCACTTCTTCCCTTCCCAAAGGGCTCAGGCAGGGGCAGGAAGCACAGACCTGCTGCCTGAAGTCTGGCTTAGTGTTTCCTTTTCTCCTGAAAGTGTTTGGATTAATGTTCCTTTGATTTTTCTTTCATTTTTTAAATACAGGATTTCAGTGCCAATTTAAAAATTTCTGCCAATGCTGGGGGTGGGGAAGGAAGTGAAAACATCCAAGGTATATTCTCTCCTGGCTTTCTGGGTTGCTGTTATGCTTTTCAAAAAGGAACTATGGAAAAACCTCACTGAGACCACAACAAAAGTTCTGTTATGTTGGAGGAAATGAGGGCCTATAACTCCCTATGCGCTCAGGCAGACACAGCATGCCAAAAAATCCAGCGAAAGCTGAGTTGATAGAAAACCCGGCTGCCTCCAAAGCAGTCAGGAATACATGTCCAGCTACACTACTGGTCACGCCATGTCTCATGACCCCCATCACCAGGCACACACAACAAGCAGCTTCCGCATCCTTTACCATGAAAACATGGCTGTGTTTGTTTCTAGATGGAGATCAAAAGTTTCTGCTGCTTCCTTTCCTCCACGCTGCTTTCTAGAGCAGGAGTTTATATGGTAAGGGGAAGCCAGACACAGGTTCTGTTTGCTATAAAATCAGAGTTATAACATGATTTAGCAAGTCATTTACTGGAGACTGGTTCCCATATACAGGAAAATTCCTTGGAGACACACTAAAAAACTACCTAGTAAACAAAATCCTAGATTTTTCATTACATATTTCTACTACACCTCACCACTCAGCTGGGAAATAGAATATCCAGGAACACAGTACCTGTATTTGTGTTTTCTTGGGCTTCTTCTTCTGTCTTTGCTATTGTGGTAGTAAGGACAGGCATAACCCTGGCGACAGAGTCGGGGGGGTTTCTTACATTGCTCTGTCTTGTAATTTCCCAAGACATACGTTGTATCTACAAAAGAAGCAACCAGTTAATTGGAGATGACCAGAACCTGTATTTATTATACAAAGCTTTTTACAGGAGTGGGCACTCCACAAACACCAGACTTTCCCAGCCCCACAGACCCCAAGCAACACGCACCTTGCCATCTTGGTTCCTCACTAAGTATCTTCTCTATCATAGCATGGCTAGCAGCAACTGCAGATTGACCCTCTATGCTGCCTTCAGATGTGGTCTGACCATTCTGCAAAGCTTCCATCGCCTGAAGCTCCCTTTGTGGAGAGAGTTAAATGAACACACAGAGCAGATGACGAGACAGGTAAATGTGTATAAAAACTGATTACTGGAGCACCATAATTCCTAAGTGGATGCATTTCATTCATGCATTTCTGTCAGAATATCTTCAGTCAAACAACAACTGCAACAGATGTTCTTCATTCCAGATGTATTATTTTGACCCCTCCTATCAGACTCCAAGCCACAACACAAGTAGTTTAAAGTATGCTCCCTTCCCCCATTTTGAGTATCCTCCCTGTAGATTTTGTAGATTTGCCTTAGTAGGAAGGGATATTATCATCATCACTCCAACACTAAGCATTTCATGCTGAAGCAGTACTGTCCTTTGATCATCTGACTTTTCATTGGGGTACAGAAGTTACTTTTTTCATGCAGATCCCCAGCCTCTACTAACCTGATGTCATACACCGGAGAGCGTAAGTCATGGGGCCCATGAGCAAACGCACAGTGGACTCCGTTCTTCGTGCAGTTTCCCTTGGAGTCTGTCTCATGAATGCAGATTCCAGTTTTGTAGTAGCGCAAGTGATACCTCCTCTCCGTGTCTCCAGTAGTCCTATGCAAGAAGGGACACCTGAAGTACAGAAGGAGGGAAAGAACAGATGAAGTCTGGTCACATGGGTAACGGATTGAACACTCCCACAAGACTTATTGCTGCTACAGGATGCTACAGTTAACACCACCTTTGCTATCTATGCCGTTTCTCTTACTCTGTGTCTTCCAGCACTACGCAGAACCACTAAACTTGTCACTACATGGCATATAATAGTTTCCCCTCCTAAAAAGATAACTGGATTATTAAGACAGCAGCAGTTTCTTATTCTAGTCTAATGCCTGTCAGGGGTATGGAAAAGATCATGGGCATTGTCAAGGTGTTCCAATATACTAGCTGTGAATGAAGGGACTTCACATAGAATCATAGAATGGTTAGGGTTGGAAAGGACCTTAAGATCATCTAGTTTCAACCCCCCTAACACTTCACTCTAAACTATGTCACCCAAGGCTCCATCCAATCTGGCCTTGACCACCACCAGGGATGGAGCACTCACAACCTTCCTTGGGCAACCCATGCCAGTGCCTCAGCACCCTTATAGTAAAAAGCTTCCTCCTCATATCCAAGCTAAACTTCCCCTGTTTAAGTTTTAACTCACAACCCCTTGTCCTATCACTATAGTCCCTAATGAACAGTCCCTCCCCAGCACCCATATAGCCCCCCTTCATATACTGGAAGGCTACTATGAGGTCTCCACGCAGCTTCTCTTCTCCAGGTTGAACAGCCCCAACTTTCTCAGCCTCTCTTCATATGGGAGGTGCTCCAGCCCCCTGATCATCCTTGTGGCCCTCCTCTGGACTTGTTCCGACTGTTCCATGTCCTTTTTATGTTGAGGACACCAGAACTGCACACATTGCTCCAGGTGAGGTCTCATGAGAGCAAATGTGCACATGGCACATCCCATTTCCTCAGCAGCCCACCTAGGCTTTGTGCTGTTACTGTTTCCTGCTAATGTAGTCCTACAGGGCTGCAACAGGTTATATACAGCCAAATGTATCCTTTATGCAGAGCATGGGACAAGGAAAAATTACAACGCTACTGTTTTAGCTTCTGTTTTGCTTCCCCTCTTAGGCAGAAAAAGCTACACTGAGAAATTAAATGAAAGACAGCAAAACGTTCTGTGATGGCAACAGTTTTCATTCACTGAGTTTTAGGCAGATACGAACCAGTGATCTAGAAGCCAAAGCCCTCAAATATCCTGTTTCCAGTCCCTTCCAGTTCTCTTATAATGAAGAAGTATTGAAAAGAAAGTATTGAAACTGAAGCCTCAGGCTAGGGGATTATTCCATTCTGTTGGAGTCACAAGACCTTTACTTAATGAGGTAAAAAAAATATTGTTTTCCTGACAAATAGCATTTTTCTGTATGTTTATATTGGCACCATCAAAGAGAACTGAATTCCGTCTTTCTATAGCATCTCTATATAAAACATTCCCTATATTTGGCCAGTTTGGCTACGCTATTTATTCTTCCATATCTGTCACATGTCTAAAGTTATATTACTGAGTTAACCCTTTAATTGCTGGACTGTGCCACATGCATAGCAGAAATCCTTACATGTCTGCTCCAGCTAAACTTCCTGCAGTCATGGGGAGAGTAAACTCAATAAAACAAACTCTCATATTGCCTTATTCTGGGTACCTGTAACTTCCCTAACTAGCTTCTTAAAAGTTCAGGAAGTAAACTGACATATATGATTTTATTTAAAAAGCATGGGGATAGATAATTCAGGAGGCAGGCTAGAAAACAAAGCTCCTCCTCTTTCTTCAACCTGTGAAAAACTAAACAACCCTGCTAGTGACCAAGAGCAATCACTTGACAGCCAGGGACTTACAGGCACAGAGTCTTTCTTGAGCCCATTAATCACCAAGCTCTTTTTCCCATCTCAACTTCAATGAGAATGTCAGGGACAGTGAATGATGAAAAAGCTGAATTCCCATCTAAGTCACCCTTAGTACCAGCTCTGCAGCAGGCCTGGAGCGCATGGGTTGCTATTACAGAATTCACATCTGTTTTCATGTTATGTTGGTTACAAAGCTGCTTTACTGCTGACTTACCTCATCTCTACGAGAACTGGCTGGAATTATCACCTGGACTGATACCAAAAGCCTAGTGCCTAAAAAGCAGGGTGCAGTCTTTACTTACTCATCTCCTTCTGGGCAGATTCCTGTGGTCTCATCATACTTGGTACAGTAAATGTCAGGGCTGTAGTTAAATGTACCATCCCGGCGGCGGATAGATCTGCGACGACGCTGGTTGACAAAGTGCCAGTGGAAGCAAGTGTAGGGCCGGTGCTGAGTGCACTTGTGCTGCACAAAAAGAGGGCACTGCTCCGTGCGGAATTCCTTCAGGTAACTGCAGACAGAAATCCAACAGCAAGAGATTAAGAACAGGACAGGATGCTGGTCAGAAGCAATATTCAATTGACCCCTGCAGGGTTCAGGCCAAACAGAGTTGCATCTGTCACAGGGATGCCTGCTGTCCTTCTTACACTCTCCTTTGCTTTTGTGCTCAATAGGGGAAGCTGAAAGCTGCTGATTGGCTGGGGTGGGAACACACCAGTTACCAGGCTAGTTAACACAAACACGATGCTAACAACAGCTGAAATCAGGGTATCTGATCTATCAGCATCGTTTTGAAGAAGCTTTTCATGAACTTAGAAAACAGTTTGTGAGAAAACAGAACTCTTAAGTACCACTCTATCCATTTCTATCACTAAATCCGAGACCTATCTGGGTAAAAAGGGGTTTCCTTCCTATATGTTCAGTTTTAAAAACCCTAACAAGATACACTTCCTTGCAGCCATGTTTAAAGCTTTACATTCCTGAGAAAGAAAGAATTTTGAAAGACATGCCTTGTGCTCCTGGTTTAACTTCAATTCTTCACTACACGGTTGACTATGAAAGTAATTTTAATCAAATTTCATCTCTTGCATTCTTGTGAGTTCAGGACTCAGTCTTGAAAAGTGGGATAACTATCCTCAAACTACTGCATGTTTATGCTGTTTTAGTTTTAATATGCAATTCTCTGAAAGTATGTGTCTTCTTTTACCCCAACAACTAAAAAAGTCATAGGCTTTTATTTGTGACACTAATAACAGTCTCTAAACCCAGATCATAGAGGATTACAAAAAGGTTTAGATCAACATAATGATCTAACTGTCATCTGTGTTACAAAACACAGGTGCTTACAAAACCCTTGGTGCCCGAAACCCACTAGCTGTCCTGTATTTACAGGGAACACAACAGTTCTGATTTCTTACATTTAGAGGTCAGTTTAAACAGCAAGTAACAAAATCTGCTGGTCAAAATCAAAGTGCCAGAATTGTGCTGGAAGCAGCAGGATGATAGAACAGCAGATGTGGACTAATTTCGAACTGCATATGTAGTCCAAGGCAAGAAAACAGAGCACAGGAATTTGTCAAGTATTCCTTCTCATATCAGACAATTTTTCTATTGTATCTAAATGAATGAAAAGATGTCCGATGCTCAAAGATGTGCTTACAGATAATATTGTCATGCTGGATGCATTCTGAAAGCAGTATCTGTAAATAAAGCTTCCTTTCCTCCTTACTCTAGCTGACAAAAAAGCCACAGGAAAACACACAAACCAGACCCAAGTGTTTTGGGGTTTTTTTGCTTGCTATGAAGGGGAATGTCATTGGCAAGAGACCTCCTACACTGGATTTTGCAAGCATGAAAGGATAAAAGCTCTTCCTCCTCTTCAACCTCCAAACAGGCGAGACATGCAGATTCCACTGCTGCTGCTCTGCAGTCACTGGGACTGGAGAGCCTCCACAGCTGCTGTAAGCCCTGTTCAACATCTGCCCATCTGTCCTCTGCCACCAGTGTGGCTGAAGAACAGGATCTGCACTGAGGCCCAAGGCTTAACATCTGAAAAAATGGAGATGGTATGCAGGAATAGGTCTGTTTGGGATGGGTAAGGTCTAATAACATCACTTTATTCCTTTTCACCTTTAAAAGGCTGGCTCCATTTAACTGGAGATCCCTACTCCAACCACAGAAGCAGCTCATCTGAAAACTGAATGCCACAATAAAATTAAACCATTCTTGAAAAGCTTTCCAAGCTGTTGGACCAAATAGAGTTGTAAAAGGTGGAATTCCACAGATCAGTTTATCTGATCAGTGCACTAATAAGACTCAGAACAAATGTGACTGTAACATTTAGGTTGGAAAGTCAATTAAGTAAACTTAAGCGGCATGATACTTGGACTGCCATTCAGATACTCCACAGTCACCAACTGGTCCCTTCCACCCACAGATCTCCATGTCCTCCTCACCTTAGAGACATGAGATTTATGTTACTCGTCTTTTACCAATGGACAAACTACAAAACAGCTGGCTACGTGCCCCAGCCAGTATCAGTAGCAATCAGTGAAACCAAGAGCATTTAAACTCTTCAATCTTCTATGAAGTGAATCTTCACAGAATCCTGGACTGGTTTGTGTTGGCAGGGACCAACAACTACTCATGCAGTTCCAAACCCCGGCCACAGGCAGAGACACCTTGCACTAGACCAGGTTGCTCTAAACCCCCTCCAGCCTGTCTTAATCTCCCCTCTAGCAGGTTAAAGCCATTCCCCCTTGTTCTGTCCCTACAGGCCCTTGTCCAAAGCCTTTCTCTGAGTTTCTTGTAGTCCCTTCAGGGTCTGGGCATTGCTCTAAGTTCTCCCTGGAGCCTTCTTTCCTCCAGGCTGAACAAGCCCAGCTCTCCATAGCAGAGGTGCTCCAGGCCCTTGGAGCTTCTTTGTGACTTCCTCTGGACTCACTCAAGCATGTCCATGCACCTCTTGTGTTGAGGCTGCATAGCTGCAGTCCTGGCCTTCATTTGAAAAACAGCATCATGAACCCCTTCTGTGCTCTGGAAACTAAGGGGAGATAGCAGGCCTACACAACCTGGGTATGAAGCCCAGCATTCCAAACTTGTAGTGACAGACATGCATGAAACACTTAAGAAAATCCCTGGAATTTAACAACTGCAAAATCAACTGAGCTGAAACAGCTTTCCTTTAGCAGGAGAGTTTAAAAATGCACACTCTGACCAAGGATTTCAGTCTCTGGAGTGTCAACTGTTGCTGAAGAGCATTTGAAAATTAACTGCATTTCATGATTGGCTAAACTCCCTGGAGAAGCATTTATTATAATGTAAATGATAATTACATAAGTGAATGGTTCACCTGTGAAATGTTTAACACCTAATTTGCTTCATCGGAAACTTATTCTTTAAATGCTATCTCTTAAATAAACAATCTCTCACTCTTAATTTCAAAGCAAGTCCCACAAACAGGTACCACGGAGCTCAGCAAAACACATTAACTGTGCATGACCACCTCCGCAACAGACCCAACAAACGACAAGGAGAGTTGTCACATTAAGTCAGTCATTTCAAGCCTTTCAACCACTTATTTCAGGGGTTGTTATTTTTGGATTTTTGGTTGTTTTGTTTTGTTTTGTTTTTTTTTGTGGGTTTTTTTTTCAAGCCACTAAAACATTTTAAATCACCCTCCTCCACAATACCCTGAATAGTAAACTGCATTATAGCCCTGTATTCGCTTGATCCATTAAGTGAGTTTTGGTTCCTCTGGGAGAACACGGACCACTCAACCAGCCACTTTGTATTAAAATATATAAAAGGCATGTAAACCACATGTGTTTTGGGAACCTAGAAAGAATACCTAGACTGCCCCACTACAATGTTATGTCTCACAAAGCAGAAAGCTATTAATATTTCAGTAGCCTCTTTGCAAAGGCTTGAAACAAAAACACAGAAAACACTGTCATGACAATGACAGATCCTCCTGGTGTCAGTGGTTTCTGAACATTTTTGAACGACCCTTGAAAAACTGAAAACATGTTGAGAGCTGGTACACACTTCACAGTGTATCAGCAAAACGCTGTGTCTGCACCGTAAGAGGAAATTCAGCACTGATAACCAGCATTTCTCACTCCTCTCTTACAGATCTCCGGAAACAGCAAAGCCCATGAGGGGCAGAAGAATCATTACTCCCATTTTATACAGGAGTTACTTCAATATTTATTAAAAAACATAGAGGTGAAACTAATCAGTTCTATGTTGGTCTACTTTACATGCACTCTTTTTCAATGTGTGAGTATATGCCACATTTTTAAAGCCTTTCTTTTTTTTTCTTAACATGGAAGGCATGTAGCACAATTGTCTTCCGAGGCTACATTAACATCAACACACAAATTCCTGGAGGAAATGTGATCATTTATGAGTCCTACTAAACAAAGATAAACGCAATTCTAAACAAATAGGACAAGGCTCACCAGAACAATGCATATCAAAGTCCCCAGGCTGCCTAGCAGGATGGACACTACTGGAAATGAAAGCCTCTTTCCTTAGAAGGACAAGAAGCGAGGTTCTTAGACTAGATTTCTGAACTCCTGGAGACTGACAAGAGCAGCAAAGTATTGGGGGGGGGGGGGGGGGAGAACCCAAAAACAAACAAAAAAAACCCACAAAACCAAAACCAAACCACTTTGTGAAACTGTGAATACTTTGCTGGAATTCCACTTCCTCTGGACAGAATAATGGAAGGGTCAGTCATTATCTATGCAATAATTTACACTAGCAGGGGAACTATTAACTGTTTTTAATTACCAGTACCAACCAAACTCCCCAGGGCAGAGCAGCAGTTGGTAATGGATAATGGCAGCTACTTCCCCCTCTGCCCTGGAGGGACTGAGCTGCTGCGGGAAAGGAGATGGGAAAGGGAGGGAGAAAAAAAAGGACTTCCAAACACCACCAAAAAAAAAAAAAAAAAAGATTCAAACCAAACCAGAACAAACTGAGAAAGGTGGGGGTAGGGGAAGAGGAACCAAGGAGAAACTCTAATCCAGAAACTTCATGTTTAAACTCAACAATTGCAGCCTTGTCCTGGTCACATTCATTGCCTGCTGTGGCTTTGCGGCAGCTTTACTGCTGTGGCTCTGGTCAACCCATGGGCTCAAGCAGCTCGTACTAGAGAACACTGGGCTCCTGCCACATCCCAGGGCTGTACATGTCCTGCCAAACCTGACAGGAGCCACGCACACAGTGGCATGAGCTCAGTTCAGGAAAACGTGCTGGTAATGCACAAAGACAGCTGAGCTCCAAAATCCTCATTAAAAGCCTTACCTAAAACTCCCTGGAAGTGCTGGAAGATGCATGCTGATGCCAAGAGAGAAATCTCTGCTTTGTAACAGAGGGATCAGGAAGATCAGGGAGAGGAACAATACCAAGGAGCATGGAAACAAAAGAATTAAAAACAACTTTTCCAAACCCTCATTGCTTCTGTAATGCAAAGCCTGGCCCCCCTTCACTTCTGACACCTCC